TATTGCCTACAGAAGCATTCTTTCCTCAATAACCACTGCATGGCCGGCTGCTGAGGCGAGGCTGTTGCTTTGATCTGCTTGGCCATCCTCCGGGCGCATCCCATCCAAACAGTCTCGACCCCCTTGCGTGCAGACATTATATGTGCTATATAGTCCCACTCATCAATTAATCCTGGACTCGTTTCGAAAACGAACGCGTGCGCGGTCATCATGGGGTGATTGTGTGGATTCACCGTTCCATATGCACTGTGCTCGTGTTAGCTATTGTTTCTCTCTGTCAGAGATCGTTGCAACAAAAGCTTCCTGTTCTGTGTGGCAATCATCTCTCCTACTTCGTTAGGCCTTTCCCGCAATCTTAACTTGAAGCTTTAGCTGGATTCGTTGCGTCGAAACGCTTCCACCTCTAAACCACTACTGATTCACCCTTTCTTTCGCAGGATGATCTACAGATACTCGGCAGTCGTTTACGAGAATGGTTTTCCGATGCGACGGATACTGCGATGCCCAGATTGACTTCACTCTATTTATCAACACGGACGACGTAAGTGAAACACCCCTTATACAATATGACTGGATTCTTCTCTTGAGAAGTCCCATAACATCATCTACTTTTAACCCACCGAATTCGAACACTATTTTTGTTGCCTTTGAGTAATCAAGCCGAAGACGACACTACAGAGTTTACCAAACTCCCGAGACCGATGTGCGCATCTCAACACAAAAGCAAAATAACACCTGCGTCGGCAGACTCTGGTCGGAGCGTGAATCACATGTGACCGACCTGTGACGTTTATTCAACCGGGAACGTTTGATGCTTGTTGTTACACTAGAATGGCCCTTTGACACATTGACCTGTAACGTTAGTATCCACTAACGTGTTATTTCGCAATCTTCACCCTGCTTTGCCAAAAAAGGCTAGGCCAATTGGGTACCGATTCACTTGGCGTAAATAAATAAATAAATTTATGTTCTCGGTGTTGCACGTGGCACTCCAACAAGGCATGATCAGAATATGTACAAGCGAATCTGCGACGATCAAAATGCGAACAATTTTGATCTTGACATTGGGAGTGAGCAGCTGAGTGAGTTCCAGGGAATGATAAGGTTGTGATAACTGTTCGACCTCACAGTTGATTCAGTGTTGAAACAGATTGTTGATACAAATGCAAAAATGTTAATAATCGCGTAATGTGATACAGGAATTTGTTCCAAGTAAATGTTGTTCTGGCCTGAAGCTGATCTATTGCGCTGTTAATCGCAGTCGTCTGCTATCCATTTTCCATCCTCTGGCGTATGATGCGTTCTCCTATGGCCGCACTGGGTTTCAATCCTGTCCAGTTGAGCGATGTGTTCAGTAGGAGGGTAGATAACAGAGTCGCTACATTTTGGACCATCCAGTTGTTGAAGAGTTGATCAATTCCAGAAGTATCTGCGAAATGTAGCCACAGTAAAAAATCTACGAAAACAGATTTGTATTCAAAACCATCTGAAACCATGAACTCACAGTCGGTTCCAAGCTTATCGGATTTTGTAAATCTGCGCTACCTAATTCTTCGAACAAACGGATGATATTGCGATTCATCAGGTTATCGATTGTGTATAGGCGGGCGAGTTGAGCAGTGTAAATTAGCGCCTTTATTCCAACTGTCGCATGTCTACGATGTGGTCATTGTGAACACATCAAAGAACGGTTTGCGGCCAATTTAAAACGACATAGGGGTATCCTCAGCAACAACACTGGAACATTGTTCCCATTGATAGAGCATTTCGTTCTTATACTGTGTTCCCCAGATTTTACCTGAGCATATCCATACCATGCATTTACAAATGGGTTTTGCAAGTAACAATCAACAGCCGTCATTGGAATTCAGTCAGTCCGGTCAGCTGCAAATCGCTAATGCGTAATGTAATTACCTATATTGAGGGTTTATCCCAATGGATCTTAAATCAAATACTCCTCCGCAAGTTCGGAAAAGCACCGGATGGATTTTTCGCCCTGTTGGAACTCATCAATAGTGCGCATCTGCCGGGTCCATCAAAATCCGAACCCATAATTACTATCGCCTTGCACCGCTAGCCAACAGCTAATGCCACTGAGCCACGGAGGACAGCTTCAGACCGTCATAGTTTGCAAGCTAACTGCGATATGGCGCATCTTATTCTCCACTGCCGTGCAAGTTACGGACGTTACAGAGGACAGGATTGGCCCAGAAAGGCACGACGTCCACTGACAGTAGCGATATACGACATGGCATTTAAAAACTGTAAGCGCGGATATCTGTGATGTACTCATAAGTACGGGATTTTGTTATAGTTAATTGAGGATTCATCGCAGCCAGCTCCAAATCAGATAGTCGTCCACATGCCCGGAAAAGCACTAGACTGCCGTTTCAACCTGTTGGGCATCATCAGTAGTGCGCATCCATCGGATCCATCGAGATTCGAGCCCATGACCGCCAGCTGCTTGCACCGCCACTCAGCACATTATGCCACTGGACCACGGGGGACAGTTTCGGACCGTCAAGATTTGCAAGCTAACTGCGATATAGTGCGCCACATCCTACACTGCCATGTAAGTTACGAACGTTGCGATGGTCAGTACTGACAACTGGCTAGTCAGTGGCACACTCTTCTGGAGTCGCGAGTCCATTTGTTTAGTTCCTGATAGAGCCGTGCACTATAGACGAGTCCAACTCGGGCCCAACGGCCGTCTCGTGCTATTCCAGAAGTGTGGAGGACTGTCTGTTTGGAAGCTACTCTGACGAATTCACATTGCTGGTAATTCTGGCTACTGTTAGACCGGAAAGCGCTTTTCAAAGTTTTGTGGGGAACCAACTACTGTTAGATCGTTGGCTGGGTCGGATTCTACGGATCTGAGAGAGCAAGCCGGAGCGTTCGCTATGCCCCATGGACGTTTTTCAGATAGAGAAATACCATGTTTAGAACCTAAAGTTAATTGATTAACATTTCCTCTAACCAATCACCGTTGACTCTCGTGTCGTAGGTCCGTAGATGATTTGATTTGTCGCTGTACTCAGTTATCGTCCCAGGGATCTTCACCTATGGTTGGTAGGTATGATTTTGCCAGCGACTCGCTACGACGAATAAACGCTAGTTTATTTTCAAATCCCAGTCTGGCAAATATCAGAAGCAATTTAGATTTAGCGATGGTCTCCGTTTGAACTTTTCTGCTCGTACTGCCTTTGTTCTTTCCTCTTTTGTTTTGTCATTGGTGCTACTGCACAACCGATTTTCTCCTGATGATTTCTACTCATCTTCCCGCTCTCTTTACTACTCAGATCGTCTACACCGTATAGCGCGACCAATACACAGCTCCTGTTTGGTAGTGAAGTAAGTGTAGCCCTTTGGAGCGAATGTGTCCCAGACTCAAGTCGCAATGTCATACTCTTATGGTTTGTTATGGAACCCCTTCGTTAGATGAATCCAATGACTTCTACTTAGTGTCGTTTCCACGCATCAAGCAGATGGTTAGGCAATTCGGAAAAATAAAGTCCCTGCGAAGCTTAGCCTCCGTATAGATGCTGAGCGGAAACCCTGTCAACTTGGTGACGCACGCAGCGCAAGACGAAAATGACCCCACGACCGCACCGCGGAACAGAGAGAAAGACAGACCTCTTGCATGAGCGATTTACTGACCCAGCAAACTGTGATACAGATCGGCAAACCCTCTTATTTATGACACAAATGAGTCACCACGTCGAGTATGATGTGTTGCTATCGAAAACGTGCTGCGTAGACACACTGCGAATGCCGCGCGGCGTAGCTCTGCGATCGCCTATGCGATAATGGAGTTCGTGCCTCGGGTGTGTACTTTCACGGTATCACTTGACGTTCCCAAAATGATAATATGCTTTATCTGTGTATTTATTCTGTTTCCCGATTCATCCACATCTTCACGGAAATTGATGATCTGACATCACTTCGTGTTTGGTTTTCAGTACCTTATGGAACGATGCTGCGGCCTGAGTTTCCGAATTTCCCTCACTGCTTTCTTCCAAGGTAAGATTTATCGCCACTACCAATGCAACATGTTCCATGCTTTTGATGGCACCAAATTTTCCATTTCTTACATCAATCACAACCAACTAATTGATCGCTGAGGCCGTGGCAGACTTCCAAGTCCTTTAGTGTTTAAAATTGATTCCTTGATCTGGAGTGTTTTTTAAGTGTAGAGATTCGGGCATGCAACAACAACAGCAGCAACAGTACATCAGCCATTTGAACTGATGCTTCGTTGCCATACAACCATTATGACCTATGAAGTAAAGAATAAGAAGAGGGAGAGAAGGGGGACTTACCCGAAAACCTTAATGCCCTAAGCAAACATTCAGGGTCAAAGCGGCTACACATTGTGTTAACAACACACCATCACAAACAGCTGGCTATCGTGCAAAGGTAAGACGGCATCGGTGAGACAGCTTCATTGCGGCTTTCACTGCCGCGCGTCATAATCAGCCATTACCCCGCAGATAACTCAGCACCAAACACACTTTAAACAGGCAATCCGATTAGAAGACGGCAGCAGACGCGCCACTGGTGTCGGTTGCGAGCCATGTCCTGTAAAGTCTCGAGCCAACCACAAGGCGAGTCACTTGGACTCCATACCGGAAGGCAAGAAGGACCAACGGCACCCAGGTTGGTCGTCAGCGACTTCATTTCCCGCTGCCAAGTCAACTTCTGTCCACCTCGAGCCTTGCGCCATCCTACACCTGGCAGACTAAACAAGGACCTCCTAGGTATGCGGTGACCAGGCATACGTAGCACGTGCCCGAGCCAACGCAACTTATTCAGTGCCATCTGTTGTTCTAGGGAGATAGCATGATTATCACCACCTAGTATTCGCCTACGCACATCATCGTTGCGGACAAGCTGGTGCCATCCGACACCAGCAGTGCTACGCAGACAACAATGATCGAAGACTTGAAGGCGCCTCAGATCTTCAGACCGAAGGGGTCAAGTCTCACTACCATAGAGCAGAACGGCCCTCACTGTGGCCTTGTATACACGGCCTTTCAGACGTAGGGAAATTCTCTTCTGTCTCCAAAGATGCCGCAGGTTCGAAAAGGCAGCTCTGGTTTTTGCAATGCGTGAGCTGACTTCAGTTTCTATGCGCCCATCATTGCTGATGCAGCTGCCAAGATAAGTGAAATGATCAACCACCTCGAGGTTCTCGTTAGCAACGGTCAGGGGGTCATCAAGTGGCTGGTGGTCCTGCAGCAGCACTTTGGTGCGAAGTGCATACCAAATAATGGGACCACTCTAGGCAGGCTATTCAGGGTTGATTGTGCCGCCCCAACATCGTCGAAAAGCAACACGACATCGTCCGCGTAATCAAGATCAACTACTCTTTCACCAGGCAGCACTTCAACGCCTACATCGTGAGATTCCGCGAAATTGAACAAAAATGGGGAAATCGGACAACCCTGACGAACGCCACTTGTGGTCGGAAAGCTATCCGATGGAACACCATAGACCCTGACGCGGCCTCTAGTGTTTGAGTATAGAGCACGTAGGATGTTCACATATTTCGTGGGAACACCTTTCCGTGCAAGTATTTGGGACAGAATCCATGGGTGGACTGAATCGAACGCACTCTTGAAATCGAGGGTCATAGCTATTGTCGGTCTGCGGTATGCGTGGCGCTGCTCTAGCACCTGCCGCAAAGTGAATATATGGTCTATACAGCCACGTCCTGGGCGGAAACCGGCCTGCTCTTCACTAATCCGAGATTCCCGTTCCGCGGTGAGGCGACGAACGATAATCGAGGCCAGTAATTTTGTCATAACTGGCGTTAGGCTAATACCCTTGTGGTTAGAACAGTCTGTGCGACTGCCCTTCTTGTATATTGCCACTATAATCGATTCGCTCCAATTAACCGGGACACCCTCTTCCTTCCAGATACGTTCGAATAAGAAGGTCAGTGCTTTGCAGAGGACCTCACTTCCATCCTTTAATAGTGCAGGTGGGAGGGAATCCTGGCCGGCGGCACGAAAACGATTGACGGCTGTGATCATATTTCGCATCTCGGCCTCCGACAGAGGCTCTAAACTAACCGTGCATGGCTGGTCCGGCATCACCTGAGTAGGAAAAGGGCCGGCAGCAGGAGGCCAGTTGAACTGTTCTTGAAAGTGTTCGGCCCATCGAGCCATACGGCGCTCCTTATTGTGTATCAGTGCACCCGCGCTGTCTCTGATTGTCTCACTGACGTCTGGTTTTGTTGGACCAGTGGTTCTGATTACCTGGAAGAGCTTGCGGTAACTGTCTATTGCTCCTGCCTCCATTTCTTAAGCTCTACTGGTCCGCCAGGCTTCCTTGTCAGCACGTAAGCTCCGCTTTAGTTCGCGTTTAATAGCCCGTCCGGTCACATTGTGCTCAGAGCCAGCCGGGATGTTTCTCCTAGATTCCAACAGGTTCACCGACCTCTCGGACATCCAGTGACTTGTGCGGTGACGATGGATAGTGCTACAAGCAGATGCTCCTACGTCGTGCATGGCGACCGAGATCCTATTCCATTGAAGCTCAGTGTCATTAGAACAAGACAGCGGAAATTCAGTATGCAGTGCGTCTTGATAGGCTTGTCTGACCGAGGGCTGAGACAATTACTCAGTTGCCATGCGGAGGAGAGGCTTCGGGCGTCTCCCGGTAAAGTTCATGGAGAAACGACAGCGTATCATGGCATGATCAGAGTCGACACAGGTACTTCAGTACTAGCGGCAATCCAGGATGGAATCACGCCATCTGTAACTTATGGCCATGGGGTCAATCTGGGTCCATCGCTGGCCAACTACAGGAGGACGCCAAGTGGCACTTCGGCGCCCACTGTGCCTAAAAGCAGTGCCAATAAGAAACAACTGGTGCTCCGCACCAGTAGACGCTCACTTTTGTCAGTCCGTTCGGAGTTAAGCCCATAATTACCACCCAGCTGAGCTTCTGAAGAGCTGACGCCCTACTTGTGCATTCATATCCCCTGCAAGTACTATAATATCTGAACTAGTAGCACTGCGTAGTAGCGCGTTCAGTTCGTGACAGAATGTGTCCTTGAGAGCATTAGAACTGCAGTCAGTGGGGGCATATGCGGAAATCACGAACAGCGTTTTGTTTTACTTCGTGAATTAACCTTAGCTGATATCAAACGGGCTGCACATAAACAGCTGTTCACCGGAATCCAACCAACCAACGATAGCTCAGCCTTGGAGCTTAGAATGATGCCTACACCAGCTTGACCCGTGAGTGCTGTATCAGCGTCTCCGGATGCGTGCAACCAATAACGAGAGGATAAATCGGGTACAGTTAATTCAACAACCCCATTAGAGTCATTGATCCTAGTTTCGGACACACAACACACATCAATACCCAGTGTGTCCAATGTGCGTGCGAGTGCAGCCTGTTGACCTATTTGTCTTAGAGTGCGAACGTTGAACGTCGCCATGCAAATGGGACAGTGTGGCCTTATAACGGACTGTTACTGATAAGTGTCCGGTGCGTGTATCGAGAATGTGGCTGTAGATGCTTTTACTCCATTGGCACTTCGGTTGCTGATATAAGGAAGTTTAGTAATGAGAGTAAGAGAAACAGGTGGAAAAGAAAGGAGGTGCCAGCAGTAGCATGTTTTCGCTTATCCGCCCTGTTGTATGCAGCGGATAAGGCGACCATTGATAATCCGCGCGACGGCCGATGCAGGATGAAGTTTATATTGGAAGAAGAAGTCATGGTTTTCAGCGTCTGCACCCCGAGCTTGAGAGTCACTCCTGATTGGGGTTGTTGGTCCTGGCAGTGTTTCAGCACATGTGCAGTAACTTGCGTGATGACTGCTAGTGAACCATCAGAGTACCAATATCTGCGAACCTTTCTGACTGACTGACCCTGTTTGTATCTACGATTGTATGGTGAAATTCTCTAGTATTTATCAGTTGCGGTTGGGTTGAAAACATCGTGCCCACTGTTGATCGAATCGCACGTAGCGTAGGTCATATGAACTGTCTTCAGGACAGTGCTGAATGCGTGCACCACATTAAACAGTAAAGATAATTGAGCTATGCGTAAGAATTACACATTTCTTCGGATCCGGTTGCCTTGGCTTTTGTCACTAACAGTGAGGAATACTACTACTACTAATGTTATTATTATTAATGGTAGTAGTAGCGCTGATATTGACCGTAATAATTATGTGGAGGTGGACAAGAATTAAAACAAACAAATGGATTGGTTAACGGCCACAGATGTGGCGACAAATGTAAAAGAGCCAAGGTTTCGTAAGTACGCCGTATCCGTTAAGTTATCTAATCAATGATGTGGTGGACGCCGAATATTCACCTTTCGGTGAATTTCTTCATGCTTTAGAATGTAAAATATTGGCTTCACCCAACGGCGAACAACATGCGCCGTGCGAACGGGCCACCATGTAATCGATGAACATAATCCAGAGCCTGCAGTAAAAGCCCAGTTTGCGAAATCCAGAACCACACAGTCGGCATCCTCACTAGATATGAGCACTACTTCGCATGCATCAGTAGACAATCACAGTCAGCTTCCCCATGAGTTTAACCCACGAGGATCTTGTCTGCAACCGGCGCAAAGAAGCAGCACCGTCTGCAACGTTCTATTGGGATCAGTACCTGTTAGAATGATTCTGTGTTTCCCATTTCTGAGGGTTCTTTCCAATCGCTTCCTAATACACAATGATGTTCCATGGTGTGCATCTCACATCAGACATAACAATTCTCTCACTGGCCCTCGCACAATGACGACCATTCTCACGTGTTTGCACGTCTGCAAGCGAGGAGATAACCCGTGTTTCGTATGTCCTGTTCCTTCAGTCAAACACCACTGCTAGTTGTGGGGGTTACCTCGCCACATGGTGCATACCCACTCGTTTGACCTCTTTCCATTGCCTATTTTCCTTTCCGTTTGACGTGTTCCTCCATTGCCTTCATCATTTGCTTCATTCATATGTGGTCCCTCACTCCTATTTCTATTTATTTATCCCAGTCAATACACTGGCCGCTGAGCTATTGTACCAGGAGGTCGCCAGATTCGTTACAGGTGCTTACGACCTACGCCATGGCAGGGATGGTGACCTTGTTACGCCAGTGGATCGCGAGGCGAAGACGGAGGCCAACGACGATTCCAAATGCCAGTCAGTGTTGCTGGACGTGTGCTGTGGCACGGGCACAATCGGTCTTTGCTTGTCGAAGGTGTGATTATGGGCGAATACCCAGCAGTCTAGTAACTTCACATTCAAGTTCATCGGAAAATTTCCGACATTTTATAACACTTCGCTTATTCTTTCTTTACTCTCATTGTATGGTCGTCTACATAGCAGGCCATCCTGGTGTAGTCTGTTGGTTAAAGTCGTTTTGGAGCAGTCCAGTGTTGTTTCTCAGAAACGGAGGCTCCACACGGTGCATTCGGTGTTGTTCAGTGTATTTTCAGGTTGATCGTATAAATGCAGTCTACTTGACTGTTAATCTTTTAGGCGCTATCGATGTGTGCACTGATTCGCGAGTGTTTAAATATTGGCAACATCACTTCACCGCTGTGTTGCCTTACAGCCATCCTAATCATCAACAGCAGTATGTCAGCGCGTAGCGGCTGTGTTCCTTGGGAGGAATGTGGATGAAGAGAGAAGCCTGATGTAAAACGCATGTGCTCCAAGTTAACATTCGCGACCAAGCTGTCCACATCTCGCCAACACCGCATGGTCATAAGCAGTTGGTTATCGTACGAAGATGATGTGGTATCGGCTAAACAAATTTTTTGCGACTGTCACTGGCCCATGTCAACCGGTCATCATACACATTTAAACAACCGCCTCATCTGTAACACCGAAATACTATTTGTGCTTTCCATCGCATATAAGCCCTCACATAACAATGGTCAAATTCAAAATTAAATAATGCTGATTAGGGATGAATAACGTGGTGCTCCTGCTATAATCTCTGTTCAGTCGACAATCTGTACTCATCTTCATTGCGTATGTTGAACACTTCTCTGCATTTTACATTTCTTTGCAGCACTTTGACCGTGTCATTGGCATTGAACTTGCTCAGTCTGCGGTGGAAGATGCAAGGCAGAATGCCAGACAGAACAGTAAGTGGAATGTCTCCCCGCCTTCTTTCCTGGCTGTCTCCTACTGACATTTCCATGATTAGGCCGAGAAAGATTTCTTGAGACGTGGAAGAGCATCAAACCAGTTCATTCCACGACCAGAATGACTGCTGCAGACGGATAAAACGCCTTGTGAGTAGTTAGTTAGTTAAGCTATGTAATGACGACGAGCAAATACACACTCCATTACTGCTTCCTTGTGGTGAGTGAATTTTGCCGCTTTCTTTCTCATTCTGCCATCATAGGATTAATCAATTTAAACAGAAAACAACACGTGTTTTACAATGCAAACGATGCCTACTTCTATGAACTTGCCAGTTACCATATACTGCTAGGTTGCTTCATTTTAAGCAGACGCGTCAGTGGTCGCTGTTTAGCCAGACTGCGCTTCTCTTACCAGAACCTAGCTGCCATCTGGATCGCCTGTTTGCCCAGCCACTTGTCCCTACTTTTTCCATCATCTGAAGTATACTTAGAATTCCGGATGTCCATTCCCTGTAATTAGTCGGTGCTTCAATCGGTACCACCTGTCCATTTATTTTTCGCAATTAACTCGATGACTTATGCTTTGTATTCACATCCGAAATCCTTCCGTCAAACATGTTACAGCCGCATACCATGAGCACGCTCTTCATATATTTCAACTTTGGGCGCTTTTTCCATCAGATATTGAAAATGTACAATTTTACTGTGGCAGAGCCGACAAGATACTACAAGACGTGATTAGCACTTTGCCCACCGATTGCAACATCGTGGCTGTTGTGGATCCACCGCGCTCGGGGTTGCGTAAGTCTTCGTGACACTTCACCGATCTTTTTTTCTTCTGTTATCTCGTTGTTTGGTCTAGAGATTTCCTTTCTGCGGGCGTATTCGTTCTTAAGAGGCCGAAAAAATGCCCTGCTCTTGATCGTGAACACAGTGTGACTGACTCGAATCACATCCGCCGAGTGCATCGGGCTGTCTGGCTCGTGTAACAAAACAACAGGCACCAGTTACGGTTTCTTCCAGTCGGTTTTGGAGGCTTTTTCAGTCTTGATTTTGTTAGGCTTGTAACACAATTTTGTTGCCCTACAAACGACTGCAGCACATTTCTCACACAAATTCGTCCATTCATCTCCATCTAGCCCCTTATTCTACCTGCTTCCCTTTCGCAAGTTTTTTCGCTGTCACTTATTCCTTGACGATGACTGTTCTTCACCATTGCTGCGACTCATCTTGGACACTTAGGTGATTGAGTGTGCTCATGAATGCTGTTCCAACTTGACAATTCCTTGGCCATTAGGTGCAACGGAAATCGAGCTCGTTTACTGCTCTTCTGAATTTCAATCCACCTTAGGCAACTGTATGTAACAGTTCATATGACCCGATAGTTCACATAAAAGGGCGAATGCCGACGAAACACGCCACGAATCATGCGTTCTATTGACTTCATGTTATACTAACAGAATAAACATGTAACCACAGCTGAATCCGAGGCTTTCTTTCGAGGTGGCTGTTTGAGTAGATTATTACGGACAGCACACATATTTCTGTATCTTTCCTTTGCTATTACAGACAACGTGGTCATTCAGTGCCTCCGACGCTGTGCGCGGCTGCAACGCATTGTTTTTGTATCATGCGACCTCGATGCAGCTGCGAAAGACTTCATCGAGTAAGCGAATCCTCCGGGTCTCATAATCGATAACTCATAACATGCACGCTTTCTTGTTCACGCTTCTTGTTCACAAACCTAATAATTGTTCTTAGTTTTCTTCATCTTCACCGGCGCAATTCTGTCGGTATGTTCCATACAAGTCTGTAACATTATTTGAGAAACCTAAATTAACGTTCCGTTTTAAACACTTTACAATGTCTTTTCCGTTTTAGCTTCGCTCGTCCGACCTCAAATCGTTTCGTTGGTGCTCCTTTTGTTCCTGTGGTCGCAAAAGCAGTTGACTTGTTCCCCCAAACACGTCACGTTGAGGTGATATTGCTTCTTCAGCGTGTTAGCGAATAATACTCCGCCAATACATCACTTTATAGAAATCCGGATGTGTTCTGATGAAAGAACAGATTATAGGAAAACGAACGACTATTGGGCTTTTGACATTGCACCCGGGCCATTACAGCTTATTCGCTATTTCTAAGCGACCAAATCCATCTGCCGTCGCCTGATGGGCTGTCAGGCGAACGTATCGCTTAATGCACGACAAGAATACACTTTGTAGTCTACTTGACATCTAGTTCAACACAACGTACCAAAAAGAAACATTCACAGAGGTTGGAATCACCGAGTTCCATATCTAGCCTTGTCGACTTTTCCGAGTGCATTGTGGCCGCGTGTCCCCTACAAACTGGTGGAAAACTTATCTCGTCACCCCGGGTTATTGCCATTAAACCAAAAATACGTGCACAGTCTGCTACTGGAAACAATCGAACATCCAAATCTAGATACCCGGTCCTGGTCTGTCCTCATCAAAACGCCTTTTCATCTTTTATGAGTTCGAACATTTCACTTTTAACCGTCCATTGAAGACCGCATCACAAAACCAAACTTTTTAAGGCTCCCCACATAAGTATACCAGCGACAGATTAATTTGAAACAATATGACGGCGGTGGTTCGACATTCTACTGAACATCTATGCTAAGTCGACGATGCAACCGTCCCAACACAGTGGATCATTTTTCCCATGGTGCTTCACGCATCCGTCGTATAGTGTAGGGCATAACGCTTTCTCTGATTAAAACACTACCTACTTTCCGATTCGTAATAGAGTACTTAGTGATGGAATGGCTTTTCAAGATGTATTCTGTTCCATAGAACCCATCTAAACCGCGCGTACTTGCTACCACCAGCTACATTATCATCATCTCAAGTTTAAAGTGCATCCGTTGTCTGTCTCTAGCGTATCGCCGCGGTCAAAGCCATGTGTCTCCGGTTGACTAGAGACGTCAGTGGATGAACGATGGATCACTCCATCTGCTTCACTGAGTTTCATCTGGAGTGTTGACAGAAATGTGTGCGTGGGAGCTGACTACCCTTGTCACGTCATACTCCGGGCTAGATTTTTTTGCATCTCTATCGCATAGAGAAGCGCGACCTGCAATGAAGCCACGCAAATCGTCGTCATTAATGTTGCCCGTTGAACGCACTCTGCAATAAGTACCGTTATATTATTTTACCCAAACGAGTTATGCTAACATCTGCCTGTGATCACTTAACCTGACTGGTCGCATAGTGAACATACTCTCCCCTGTCACAGAGTTTCACTTCTTCCTCTTCACCTAGCGCAGTCGTCATACACTCATTTGAATCGGATTAACTCCCCGTGTTCCGTGGGCATATTTTTAGGGAATTCTTTTCTGCGGAAAGTGATTTGTGCTATCCAAGTTGATTTGGCGCGCTTCGTGCTTCTACCTAGACGCGCCACCCTGTTGTTTTTTTTCTAACAGTTTTCACTACTGTGAAACTGTGGTCGATCAAGGATTCTCCACGCTATCTGGTGGTCCTAGAATTACCTCCATAGGATCATTTCTAACGAAGCTATGACTCAATCTGTGGTTTCAATTGCATTCGCCCATCGCCGGCACTTTTCGCTGTCATCCACCCACTACAAGCCAATTCCAACGGCTTTGTCCTACAGGAACCAGTGTGGATCAATAAGCTAGCCAAACTCGGCGTACGTGTGTCCTCCTCGTGACACATTCACCTACGGTAACCGACGTCGAGAGTGCGACTGGAACAAGGAACGCGAGCGTCACTCTACCTCACGTGACCAGACAAGAGCAGCATTCGTTTGTAACAACGCCCCTCAATGGAATTAATTCCTCCTAACCGCAAATATGGCAAGCAGAAATGTACACACCTAATTAGACGAGGCATTATTTGTGAATTTTGCGGACTTTCGTTCCACCCCCTCTGTGCTTGTTTAAGTCAACTACAATACAAGAGACAAATAAACCTGACTGATTCGCTCTGGTTTTGCCAAACATGCAGAGCAATCCCAATAGTCAGATGTATAATGTCGCTCGTGAAAGTGTGAAAAACTGACTGAAACAGTCCAGCAGATGGCAAGCTTCAGGGCTTTGCCATTAGAATCTAACAACACCGATCTTGCTCTACAACAAACCTCTCAGAGCTCTGTCCCTGAGTCGAAGGCTAAAGTCAGGCTTGCTAACCGCCCAACGGCATCTGCGCCACCTACTCCGACAATTACTAACCCTTTAAGAAGACAAGCCACATCCCTAGATGCCATATCTCACGAGTTGGTCACAATGCCGACACCGACCGTCCAGAGCCGGGTAACACGCATCGATTGCTTCGATAAAAACGCCTAAAGAGACACCCGTACATCTATTTTCTGAACCAAGCACGAGCGATGCGACGCCGTTTTCACAACGTTCTTTAGTGCCCGCCAAACAATCCAAGTTACCAACCACAACACTCAAACCGACATTCGCTAAACAGAACCACAACGCGTTAACGGTCGTGTGCACTAACGTTCCTGAGTCCAGATCTGGCGCAATAAAGGGCAAGTTGATAGATGATCGCAACCAGTGGCATTCCATCTGCGATGCGATTGGTATTTGGGTTGAGGCACCTGGGCTGTGACGCGTAGCGCGTCACCCAAATTCAACGCACTACGGCGAATCCCTATTTCTTCGAGTAACCTTAAACACAACTGAGGAGACAGAGGTAGTCCTATTCTCAGCAGTTTATCTTTGCAACAACTTCAAGCGAGGTACGCATACTACCAGATGTTCCTCGGAAAGGACGGTCAAAGGAAAAAGAAAGCCATGGCGGCTGTTCCACGAACGAAAGCAAGGAAAACGTATTTGTTCATGATGCTCCTGAACTACTGGACTCTCCTGATCACGAAACGCAATTACATGACCGAGAGCAGTGCTGCTACACCCGCGAAGCACTCTCTGGACGACGCTAAATCACTAACGAGCATTCCTTCATCTCCAAACTACAAGGGCTACGGTCCAAAAATGTTGAAAGTCGTGCTACACTCCGATGGAATGACAGAAGTCCTACTGGATAGCTGGTTGAAACATCGTTCCAGGTTGCCTATCGAGATTAGGCTAAAGGTAGCAGATGCACGGCCACTGGTTGTCAGCACTTCATTGGAACATGCAATCTCAGTAAAATATTTGCCTCCACATTCCTGCAGTTGTAGACAATATAGCATTAGCGACACCTAAAGGGACAGGGAGACACACGAGAGAACATCTCGATCTAGGATGCTCCATGCCACCATGTAGCGTGCCTGAAATTCAAAAACCAGTGACCCACGCAAAAAACGACTAGCGGCCGACGGTCGGCTTAAAACTAAACACGAATTTTTTGTCCACCAACACATTTCTAACATCAAAAATACTATCATGTTTGTATACCAACGTTCAAATTGGCCGAACTTAGAGAACACCAGGCGTCACAACCACGAGATTTCGTTATGATTGCGGAGACCTGGTTAAGCCTTGAGATAGCAGATTCTGAAGTCAATTTACCTGGTATGTCACTGCTTCGGATTGACAGAGCTGAAAGAGGTGGTGGCGTGATTCTGTATTACAAGGCTAACCTCCGATGTGAAGCTATTGACCACCCAGAGATCCGTGCCCCAGATTCGCTTTGGTGCCGGCTATGGTTGCGGAACCAAGACACATGTCTTATAGCTGTGATTTACCGTCCACCAAACTCTACATGTGGAATGAACTCCAAACTGAACCATGTTCTTCAAGTTGCCTTGAGCAAGACATACAGTCACATTCTCATCGCAGGCGAATTTAATGTGCACGACCTGGAAATAGCGGCGACCGATAGCATGCAGTTCAAAGCCTGTTTACAAGAGGTAATTTCCAGCTACCCTCTGTACAACCACGTGACCTCTCCCACCAGATTTCGGACTGCCAACAAGCCGTCGATACTTGATCTTGTACTCACCAACGAAGAACTCATGGTCGACGGAATAATTACAAGCACACCACTGGGTCGCACTGACCATGTGACTACTGTTCAACTATGTAGGTTATGCGGAATATCCTGAGGAAGAGGATGATAAAGTGTGTACGGACACGCACCACAGCGTGTTGTCCGCGCTTATTAAAGAAATATCTTGGACCTTCTTAACTAAATGCCCCCCCCCAGAAATCGCCTGGGACATTTTTACAATGACATTCATCACACTGGTAACGCCCGCGTCTGATCAGAAATCCTTCTATTATCAACGGAGAAGCAACTCATTTCTGAGCAGCAGTACACGTAAACGCATGTTCTTGAGGGACTTAGCATGGAAAGCTCACAAGCACTCCATGAATTCCGAAACTTGGACTGCCTATGTGGCACAGCGTAAATTCTGTGTGATCCGCGGGGACAACGTGACGCACCAGCAGGAGTCAATGAAAAAATTCTGCACGAACCGCAAACTTTTATATGGGCCTTCGTAAAGTGCAACGCGAAACTCCAGCACTGATCACGACTGACGGGTGCACGCGATCAGCAACGGAAGCAGCCGATGTGTTACGGTTTCATGACTCACAAACGTTCTAGAGAGTAACGGCCCCAACGGTTATCCCTGTTTCTATTGTCCCACCATCAGATTTATCCAATATTGCTTTTACTGTAGAAAGTGTGTCAAAGGAAATGGTGTCCTTGCGTATCCACAGCTCTCCTTCTGTCGATAACATTCAATCAAAGGCTTTACAATCAGCAGTCAGTGATCTAGCGGAATTGGCTATATTTCGTCAGTGCTACCTACCTAGAGGAGAACCATATTCCAACAATATGGAAGCGTGGGGTAATCACTTTTATTCATAAGGTAGGTAGCCGCACTGACCCAACCAATTACCGTCCTATAACGCTGCTTCCTGTGCTTTACAAAGTTATGGAGTCTATCACCGCTGATGCACTCATGCAGTAACTGGAAAATCACAAGAGCTAAATGGCTCCCAACAAAAGCGCTCATGCACTACGAACCTGATAATTGTTGATAGTTGATAGTGAAGCGGGAGTCGATGTCATTTACTTGGACTTCTCATAATCGTTTAGACCACCGAATTCTCCTCCGTAAACTTCAGCTCTATGGCATTGGTGACCCACTGATAAGTTGGGTAGACAATTTCCTGTACGAACGTCGATTGGAAGTGAGAGTACGAGAATTCCTGTCCGACGCAATTGAGGTAGAGTGCGGCGTATCAAAAGGTTCGGTGCTCGGGCCCCAGCTATTTTTGATTTTCATAAACGATCTAACGAGGAAAATTACTTCAGATTTCCTATTCTTCGCGGATACTATCAAGTTATGGCGAGCGATCAAAGAACCGAACGACCACGAAAAGCTCCAGCGTGACCACAACACGATTTCAACCTGGTCAGTTCTGAATACGCTACCGTTCAATGTGGAAAAATGTCACGCTGTTCGATTGCGCCATAGGTATGACTGCGTGTATAGATTTGGGTCACATGTATTTCAAACAACTTCCCAAGAACGCGACCTTGGTGTGCTCATTCAGAATGACGTTAACTGTTCAACGCAGCTGCGAAGAGAGCAAACCAGCACGTCGGCTTGCTGCGGAGAGCATTCGGAAGTTTCGACCCATCCATCTTCCCCATGATGCACAACTCTTACGTGCGCCCTCACGTTGAATACGCCATCCAAGCTTGGTAACCTTGGTTGAAGCGCGACCTAGAAGTGCTAGAGAAACCATAACGCAGGTCCACAAAGAACGTCAAGGATCTACGAAATCTGTCCTACCATCAAAGGCTGAAGTTACTGGGAGTTTTCAGTGGCCGCTACCGAAGGCTGCGCGGCGATCTCATATTAGTCTACCAAATGTTGAGTGACCCTAATCACGTATGCCGTCTCTTGCTGAAACTCAATCATAACATCAACCTCTGAAATTGTGCGCACATTACAGCTGCCTGAAATGCCGGCGGAATTATTTTTCTCATAGGGCTTGCCAACCCGGGAACTCTTCCAAACTTCGTTGTTTCCTCCCCCACCTTGGATATTTTCAAACACGATCGGGTCTTGCCCCTGGCCCCCATCACTTCGTTGCCGAAACTGCGCGACTTTGGAATATATTAATTATCCGTCCAAACCGGATTAGCATGTTACGTAAATCCGAGGGTGCGGGACAGAAGTGAGTATTCTCGTTTTTAATTTTCTCACGGAGTACAACTATAACTGTCCCCATGTTGCCTTATCGTTCGCATTCAATTCCCACTTACACTACTATTATTCAGCAGTGTATCTGCTAGATAAACGCTCAAACAGACAATTCACATATCTTTTGATAATTGTAGTTTTACCCCCACCATCCTGCAGGACTTGTCAAGCAACTGCTTTTTTACCCGGCATAAAACATTGTTCATTGAATCGCATCTCCTGCCTGATCCGGAGAACTGCTCATGATAAGTGCATATCACAGCACAGACGGAAAGCATCACAGACGGACTGCCGTCAGCATCGAGAGGAAGCACTAACACAGCCACTTTCTACTTGTATGGCTTGTGAAAATTGACCGAAGGAGAACTGGAAGCCGCGACTTAGGCCTCTGAACCACAGGTGCTGACCTGGTTGTAGCACAACCAGTTGTCGTGATACATCTAGTTCTATGTTCCATTATCGTGCACGTCACTACCATGCAGCCTTCCTCAGCATCATATACACCGTTTGATGTCAGAGCTGCCCCCACTTTAGAGATCGGAAAGCAAGTATTCCTGGTGTCTTCAGATAATTCATCATCGTCATTCCCAATCAGCAGGCTTAGGCTAGTCTGGGAAAGCACCAAACGCCGGCGTTTCGACCTTCTGGGTCTCACAGTGGTGCGCCTCCCAGTGGACCCCTGCCGGGTTCCGCACCCATGACTTCAGGATGCCAGCAGCTAGTGCCACTTCGCCATGGGTGATAGCCGCGGACCTGCGTGATTGATAGTTAGCTACGATAAGTCCGGTTGCGAGGCGTAGGTTCACCGGTCGTATAATTTCGCTACCCGGTTTTATGTGAGGCCATCATGACTGAGGCACGAAGGTGACAAAATGTGTCTTGTGTGTGCTGTTAAAGGTAAGCACAAATGTATTCACATCGAAACAAGATACGCGTGCCGTCGAACGGTCAGGAAAGCTTGGATTCTTGATACCACATTAAAACGTTTAAATTCATGTCGAAGCTGATCAAAAGAGGGGGTGACGAAAAAACCAAAGAAAAATAAACTACAAATGGTTTTTACAAAATATGTATTACCGTTTTTACTGTTTATGAAACAGTGTCCCCGGTGGAACTTACAAGTTTGTATCAGGACCGTTAAGAGTGTGGATATCGGTGAGCTGTAGGTATCTCCAACACGAATAAACTATTTCTCACACTTCAGACTACGCGACTGATGGGTTGTGTTTAGGGTTGTGCATGGCTCACATCATGGCGTTATCGCATACAATGTTCTACGGAATCACTAACCCAGCATGGACTCAACCGTAGGAATGCTCTGAGAACAGCGTATCGTGCGGCAAGGAAACCATCAGTTTTCAGACAACAATTCGCCTGTCACGTGGAAGGTCCGGGTTCGATTCCCTGCCGGGGAGCACTTTATGCTGATTCCCAACTTACGAGGTATGCCATACGAAGACCGATGTAAGAAACTAGGGCTGTACACCCTAGCTTATCGTCGTCTGAGGGTTGATCTCATCATGACGCACCGGATATTACATCTGAGTGATTACCCCATCTTGAAACAACTGCTTCATCTGCGCACACCAAGCTGCAAGCGAGGACACCGGTATAAACTTATCGTACCGAAGTTAAAGCGGGTCGCTCACCAACTGTTTCGAACGCAGAGTAGTGAATGTCTGGAACGACCTGTCGCAGCACATAGTAGAGGCGAACTCAGTGTCCGAATTTAAGAAGCTCCTAGACAAACACTTTGCAGAGACAAAATATAGAGAGCGTAACGATAAATAAGGAGTATATGTCCAAGAACGACGGATGATGCAGCTACACAGAGAAAGCTCTACTCGCTGCTTCGAACCAGTATTCAGTAAGATTTGTAAAAATCCGGAAGAATTGTGTCAAAAATTATATTGTCACAAACCCAATGCAGCAGGGATCCGATGAGTGGGTTTGAGGAATGCAGCTGAATATAGGTCACTACATTCGAAGTCACAAAAGCAGAAATCACAGGGCGGGCATCTGTACAGTTAATTAGGATAACAGATGAGATCAAGTGCGAATTTGTTGCCGTAGGAGGGCGATGCGATCACGCACGGTGCGGTTATCCTTTCCAACTCTGTCCCATATGAGACATAGATCAGTGTCGGACTTTTCTCTTGCTGCGACGGCTATAGCTTCTTCGAGTTGGCTGCGAAGACAAATGAAGTGTTTTGAGAACCGAGAATCGACAGCGAAAAAGTTTGCAGCCAACACAACTCACGCATTGCCAGATAGAATGCGATCAAATGGGATAAAATGTTTTACCGTCGCTAGAGTGACTCCAGTTTGCTCTCAATGCCATTGTTATTCTCTATCAGGTACCGTCCTATTGGTTTCTCAGTCGAATGAGATAGAGAACCATTTATCGCTGTGCCATGAGTGTCTTCGGTTGAGTGGAATGAGAAGTGCTCGCTCCGAACAATTAGTGTAAAAGAAGGGCCTCATGATTTTTTCCGAGTCCGATAAAGAAAACAGTTTGTAGCAACCATAAGAATAAGTGTGCGCGACTTACCCGCAGTGAAGCAAAAATCGGACCCGACGTTCCGGTGGTAAACGCGGAATGAGCTTTTGCGCTTCTTCAAAGTGATTGCAGTCGATACACACTCTAGTAAGCGTCTGAAACGAGTGAAAGCAGTGTATGGCACTCATGAATATGTGGAATGGGAGCATTGGGTATTGTATGCAAGCTAAACTCATTTCAAATGTGTAGAGGTTCACTAGAACTGGTCGCTGCGAGTGCACTTGATGTGACAAGGCGCGATTCGTGCCTTATCCACCCCAAAAGTGGGTTGAGTTTTGGAAGTCCAACCAATGATGAAACGAGTCATGAAGCGCAGTACTTTGAGTAAGCAACGTCTACTCTTCAAAATGTGATCCTTCTTACGTCGTAAATGTACAAGGTTCACAATTAACGTCTAGGTAATCAGCAAGTGTGCTAGTCTGCAAACGGGCTATCCTTCGCGTGGGAGCACTCTAGGTTGCGGAAAGAAAGCCCGGTTACTCTCGGTGTGTTAAGAAACCGACGATGCAGCAGTTCGAGCACCGTTGATTATCCTCCACGGTGGCCAAAGCATCAGTAAATTGTTTGAGAAAAGATGTATGCGTAGTATTGCGTGGGCAGGATACTGTCAGGTTGGCCAGGCCTAGACAGGAAAACGATTAGGGTTTTCAACCAAAGCTTTTGGTTCAAAAACCTGACTGCAAGGCAGCCGGTTTGACAGTCCGTTTTAAGGAATAAGGATCCGTCTTCATTCCAACCCCCAACCTGGATGGCCAGGGGACTGGGTTTGTCTCGCCTCTAAACATTGACCAATCTGGTATGAGTGGATCTGAAGGTGTGAAAAGCGTCACCTAGCGTAGCTCAATGGATCGCTGAGGCACGTAAACCATCGCACCACAGTAAGGTTCAGCCTCATTGCGATCAGTTTTGCTTTAATGACAGAGCGAGAGCAAATTCCAAGTTGCCAGCCGTATGGCCTCAGCATTTTTGTGTCATTTAAGGTAACTAGACTCAGTGAGGTATAAAAGCCACTCTTACCTCGATGCTGACTGGTGGTTTCTTGAGTTTAGCCAATTTTTCCACCTCTGGTAAACAATCATTTTGAATAGCCAGACCGATAAGACGCAGATGGGCGTAACGTTTCTCTGACACACGAAACTCCCGGCGCAGCTGATCCGCATATCGCTCTAGCTGAGGAGTGGCCAAAAGGCGGGCTAAAGTGGTGTTCAGTGGTTGTCCAACCCACTGCTTCTCCTCTACTCCACTCGGAACGACAGAGGGCAAGATAAGTGGCGACTCGGAGGGAAAATTGACGTCGGCTGACGCACAGGCAGCAAGGAACTCAAGAACGGGTGCACGAACCTCCTGTTTCTCTAGTTTGCTTTGAAACCGAAGCAAGCGGATCGCAGCACTGCACTCCTGAAAGAGAATAGTGCGAAAAGAGATATACCACAAGGTATCCACATATTACACGGTCCTATCGGTAGTGTGCATCAGAAAAACCACTTTCGAAAACACTGATTATTGTTATTTGCGAAGTAGTACCAGAACGGTTGCAGTAAATGGGTGAAGCTACAATCGGGATATGTCAACGCAACAAGTTATTCTGGCGGTCGGATACTCAGCATCACAAATTGGCAGTTCGTCGCAACATTATTCGACCTTCCGTGTGTACAAGGCAGGGAGAGTAATCCGGTTTTCAACCCTCCTTATCTAGGGAATTTCCTGAAGTGTTATCCATCATCGTGTGCTCGAAAAGTGGAGCAAGACATAGCAGTCGGCTTCAACAGGCAATGAGATCGCTGAACTCATCAAGGGATACCATGAAAGTACAGAGTATAAGTCAAAGGCTCAGACGCCTTAGTATAGAGAATATCGGATCAAAGATGAACACTTGTGATCCATCTTCAGAGACTAGCGCACTTGGGCCTGCAAGCCGAACCATACTTTTAGGAGCCAGATTGGACTAGTGGACAGTTAGGATTCCATTTTCATTATAGTAAGCAGACAGCCGCTAAGGAAACAAACTTGTTTTCTTGACGGTAGTGACTTCATGCAGTGGTTCATGTGGACTGCATCGTGCATCAGCTACGTTAAGTAAAGAGTGAATACGCAGGAGCCGAGAGATACACCGAAAATTGTACTCGTCTCCTGTCCCGCACAATGTGCACATGAGGTCCGCCCGGTCGGACATTCGTACAAATAGTCACATTTTTGGTGCAAGTGTTCCATGCTGCCTTGTTTATCAAACCGGACCGATTGAGAGCATGATTATCCGGCAAACTCTTCTTGGGACGCCAAACGGATGATCACGAGCAATTACCGAAAGTTTTAGCTGTGACGGAATGACGACAAAAGAGATCGGTGAAGACGGCGAAAGTAAGGCAACAGGCCCAGTGAAACGAGAGCACATTTAACCAGTGTTACAATGAATGATAAAATTAATTTTTTGAGCACACGTTCCGGTGGTGACACCCCAACGTGCTGCATAGAAAACTCTAGTTGCACGTGGGGTAGAATCATTTGCGACACGTCTAAATATGGACTGAAGTAAATACAGGTAATCCAGGGTCAATGAGGTAGATATATTATTTCAGCACATATCATGGGATCCGTGATTGGTAGTCGATTGCGCTCGCCTGCTTGGTGTGCGGAAGATCGCGCTGTATGTGAGGACGTTTTCCGATATCTGTGCACACTACATATGCTGATGTGGTAGCTGTCAAATCAAGACACTGAAGATTAGTCATCAGGAAGTCTCCGTTTTGAAGTGACCAAAACAACAACAAACCAACAAAATTTGTACTCACTTGGGACATAAATTCATTCTTCAGCTGTTTGTAAATTTCTTCCGCTCGCTGCATTGAGTTGAGACGCAGTTGCAAGTTCTGCAAAAGATGAAGAAAACCAAAGGTATTTGCTCTAGAGTGATTAAACGCAAAACGCACGGGTAGCTGTCGAGTTAAACACACACACGGTTTCTGTTCCTTTAGGTCTATGAAACCGAAGCCATGGTTACAGTGCCCAAATACTAACCACAAAGACATATTATGGATTCACGAAATAGTCTTAGGAGATATATTAGCGTGGTGCGGTACAACAGACGCGGTAGACGCGATGCTAGATAGTCTGACTAATCTAAGAGTTGAACTCCGACCTGCATAAAACCAGAAGCTAAAAAGGTGTCAACAATGCTCCAACCCTTCCTAATGATGCTTCGCTACCGTGCACTGGAGGGACGCCACGGATCCTGTTGAGAGGAAAAGGCCCATTCCATAGACATATGGTATAGACCGGGTCACATGACATCACATGCGTTGCGCCATGCGACGTATGTAGCTAAGCTTCTTTTGGTGGAAGATGTTCGGTGATGTTTACACTATCAACGTTCGGACTATTACTGAGGATTATTAAAATACGTGGAATCAGGCAGCGTTACAGAACTAGCAAACGAATTGTGATGTTACACTGTGCTTCGGCCTGCTTGCGCATAAGCTGAGGAATAGCGCACTATCACGAAAGCACTGGTTCGGCGGGTCTGCGAATGACTGGATGATAACTCCGATTTGAACGTGAATTTCACAACCGCTGTTCGGCAAAAAGATCGCAAGGCATGAACGACGAACTATCTACTTGGTGTTTGGGCTATTATACGGTCGGCGAGTATCCTACTGACTAAGAGACTATACCGCCAAGTCAGCATTCAGGTGCCCGCCGAGTTGCTGTGGGCGTATGAAACCGATTGGTTTACTCATAAGCTCAAATGTGACGTAGTGATTGCATAGTTTACTGTGTAAAAGAATGAACCGCACATTTCAGCATGGCAACCACAATCAAACTCCCAGTAACAAACGCTAGTAATGAACTCATCAAAGGTAGCAATGTGCGATCCAAGTTGTCAATCACCAAGTTCGTGGTAATTGAAATATAAAGTGTAAGCCTACCGTCTCTTTGTAAGCCGCTACAATAGCCTTTCTAGCTTCCGAAGCTCGGTCATCCTCTTGATCGAAGTTAACGATGGCACTCGACAGATCGTTGTCCCCAACGTTGGATCCACGTCCGAAGGTCTCGTGATAAATTGCCATCGCCATCGGATGTTTACGTAGCACCATGGCCAAATCAGCTGGAGGTAGCTTCGCTTTGTCTTGTAAAGCCACTACCACAACGGTGATCAGTTCAGGATTACCAGTCTCCACAGCTTTAACCAATGCCCGTTTGTATCGACCCAATTTGAGCAATAAGGGAACTTGGTGCCAAGCCCTAGCCTCGTATTCCAACAACTGCTCGGCCACTTTCTCACGAGAGGCTGCGAGTGCTTGATTGGCCACTTCGGCGAAATCTACAGTACGACACGCCCCAGACGAGTCTCCTTTGTGTCGAGTATTAGTGCTGAGTATGGTCGAGACAATCTGAGCTAAATGTTCGCTGATCAAAGCCGAGTCCTCGGAACTGGCGACAGTACTGTAGCAAGCCCAGTGGGCCAGAACGCGTGTAAGATTGATGGTTAATTCATCCACAGAAGGGATCGCTTTTCCAGACGTTTGCGGAGCCTGAGGCGGCACTGATTTGGGCATAGTCCGCACAAATTCCACCGCCATCGGGTAGTGTTTTCGGGCCAGAAGCCGTTCCAACAATTTTTTCGGTCCTAGTTTTTGGAACTGGAACCAAGTGAGCGCGAGCCCTATCCACGGCACGGCTAGGTTGTTTAGAAGTCGCAACCAACGGCACACACGGGCAGCGTGGTCTCCTCTGAAAGGTATACGAAAGAGGCAGAGTTTAGCAATATAGATTGGTGGATATTAACGGATCAACATACCAACGAGGAAACGGAAAACTTAGCTTGCCGGCATCTCTGAAACTGCATGTAGCAAGTCAATAACGACAGAGAAAGCTAAGTCAAAGCAGCGTACAGATGCGTTGCTGTGAAAGTACGTCCTAATCGAGAATCTGAGGGGTGAGGAAATTGAGGATTAGGAACTCACGACAAAATACGAATGTACTCAGAGTTAGATGGTGTGATAGGAACGGGGATGACTTTGGCTTAGTACATAATAAAGCTAAAGGCATGGAGCGGAGAGTACAACGAGCGGCGGTGTGTGAGCAGACGCTCAACATACAATACGCAATCTAACCAACACAGTCATAGTATGCGTCATATAAAAAAATAAATAACTAGCCAGCTGCACGCCGTAATAGCGCTTCGCTGCCACGCGATCACCACTAGTTGCGCGTGGGTTGAGTATACCGCGAGGACGCCCATCCCTACGCGGATTCGAACCGGTGACCTTATGGTTGCAGACAACTCGGCCACCGACCGAAAATGCAAATCCCGTCGCAGTTGGAAGTACAATGTTCTCTAGCCAGATAACTACCAGAGAAGGGAAGAGTGGAAGACTTGGCTATCTCTTCTGCCTCACGGAAACGTGACAACAAAAAGTCATAAATTTTGATAAGGATGGTGGAATAAATAAACACATCAAAGTAGATGGACAGTTCCGAGAGCAACGAACCGAATGTGAGAACACTACTGACGTATTTTCTGCCATTCCATGCCATACTAAGGAGTCAATCGATCTCGAGATCACTATACAGACGATAGCAACATCACCATGACCCAGCGTTTGCGTCAATTTCTCCATACATGTCATGCCATTAATCCTGGTCGACAAGACGTTAGCGAGCAACATAAGCCGAAAAAGTTGGTGGCATGCGTGTGGAAAATCTGGCCTAGTTAGTGTAGACACTAAGTTCAATGGATGTTCCCGTAGGTTTCAGATGACTTTTCGTCAAGCACTGTGTGTGTGAACATCTGTATAGTGGTGCGTCCAGCATATAAAAGGAAATTTGCGCAAGCCACGGTGGATGACCACGAGTGGTCTCATAACATCTTCGACGTTCACCAACAACGACTGCACCACCGTCATAGATTACGGAGGCTGGAAGGTATTGCCTCATGGACGTGCGCGATAGCCCCATCGGTGATCCTAAAGCCAGTTTTCCAAAGATGGTCAAAACTAGTACAGCATTGAGTCATGGGTCTCAGAGAAGGGGCATTTATTTTCAGTTCCGTGCTCCACACTACTTACTGTTCAAGTAGAGCGCACATCGTTGCTTACTTTGAAATAGCGGAAACTTACAGTTTCTCCAATTCTCCTTCTACAGGTTGATCGTTGGAGTCGGTGAACAATGCGGAAAGGAAAATGAGACCCATATGGGCCGCTTCCAGAAGGCTTTGCTGACATTCCGTATCAAGTACCGCATGACTGGCGGCCTCTAAACAGTGTGAGATACCCTCGAGCATTTGGCGTGAACTTTGAATCGGAAGCAAATAGTCATTGGCGCGACCGGAACCAGCTTTCAAGCTAGCATTGGCCGAAACAAGCCAAGTGGCTGGACAGGAGGCGCCGATGCGACCCAAAGCCTCCAGGGCGGGTGGAACACGTTGCAGAAGCTTGTGGGCCGTTGGCGTGAGAATGCGTACAGAGTCCAACTGTTAAATAAGGGGCACAATTGAGAGAACACGACAGATATGTTAAGGTGCTTCGTAGAAGCGTACACATAAGCAGACTTCTATGACTGAATAGAACAATAAATATAACAAATTTACTAAAATGTTTCAATGAGATGGAACGTCCGCTAGACGTTTAAAGGCCTGACATCACAAAGGTCGCAGTCCTGCTGTCTCTACCTGATGAGGCCGACTAAGTTCGAAACTTTGTTGCATGGAGGGTAACACGCAATGTTTAGCTGCATCAGATGAGATCCAGGTGGCCGAAGTGAATCGCGGTACACCTTGAGATTGCGCGTTGTAATGCTTGCTGCGAAATAACCTCTCCAATCAACCTAATTAGTAGATTCCGTTAAGAAACTGGAAAAACCCAGCTTTCACAGTGGGGAACGAGCGGTCCAACTCTGAGCAGCTGTGCGATTACCTCAGAGTGAGTCGTTCATCAGCACCGCCTCTAATTATGCGACACCCAACGATGCCTGAGCAATGACATAGATAAAGAGCAAGAATTAGCTTGCTTAAAGATCGAGTACGGTTGGTATTTGCCACTACTTCGAGCGTTGCAGACGATCCTTGGTGGTCCCGTAGTTTTCAAAGTTACGTTACGCAGAGAAACTAGATATAACGCGACGAACGGTGCACCCGTTTTTTAGCACACCGACTTCCGCGACGCGCATTGTTTGAGCGACCAGGTGTGCATGCAAGAAGAGGAGGGGAGGCCGAGCGATAATTTGGCCAAGAGTCCCTCACTTCGAACATGGCATCGGTTGATGTCACTCGACTGCTTAACTGGGATTCAAAGGACGATGAACACGTTTAGTTGGATACATTTGTTGATATCACGAAGAGCTGGCCCTAATGACGTTTGTGTTGTGAGTTTCTTTCTCTCTCCTCTCACTTATCTTCACATCTGATGCGTAATATGATGCTAAGCAGCATAATACTTTTCATTATTTATATTGCATTCCGTAATGTTTTTATCTCCCTATTTTCGTATCATTTTTGTATTGTGGAACATTAGCTGAAGTGTATTTCTCACCTTCAACTAATGTGCAATAACGATGATGATGGTATTTGTCACTTCCATGGCTGCACTGGCGTTTAGCTATCCCATCAGAAATGGCGAGGTCGCAAAATCGGTCTTGGACTCGTCCCCTCACTTTCGGAGCCCCGTTCCATCCGACGACTTTACTTCATGCCAATCACTCGTTAAATGTTATTGCTAGTATTATGGTTGTTAACCAAGTGGTTCAAGGGAACCGCACCTCATTGGAGCTCCTAAGAATGTAATACAAGAAAACTGGTCAGAATGCTGTGTAACACCAAATAAGGGGTCGAAGGTAGAGCACATAAAACATGATGGACACTGTTAAGGGGAACACAACAACTAGCGGAATAGGAACGAAAATAAACGTCATGCGCAATGTGGTCAAGGAAGAGTTCGTCCAGAGGCGGTCTCGGAATGATTAGTTGTCCGCACAACAGATGATTTGTTCGATTTGGCCTGACATGGAAATGTTAAGCGACAGAGATGGAGATCAAATAGCCCAAAAATGCACATAATTGTCCTATTATTTGACTTCCAGCAACACCCAAAACAGGCGTCAGCACTCTTTTGTCGTCATATAGGAGACATTATAATGCAAAATTCTCAGTGTTCGCATTAAGCAAATCGGTGACTTAGAGGTGAATGTAACGATGAATGAACAAATACACGTCCATTCTAGTCTGTCGGCGCAGTGTCCAGAACGATACCAACGAATGACGCAGAAAACAGTGACAGCTAGGATATTTAACATCGAAGTCCGTAATGAAAGTAGAATACTGAGGAAGATAGACATGTACAAGTTGCGAGGAAAATGCATGAGCTATTGCGGAAGTCACTGACTTGAACGCAAGACAACACCACGTAATCGAGTGAGTTGGTTCGTTCAACGGCGCATAGTCACAAATGGGCGGTTCGTGCGGGAGGTCACAACAAACCATCGCCGCTCGTCACAATACGTTGTGAGAGTGCAATTACTATGATCAGTCTATCTCAGACATTCCGAATGGGGAAATATAGTGTTAAACATACTCGCTGTGAGAAAAGTTGTACGCATGAATGAAATGGTTCTAACGAGGGGAGAGTAAATAAAAATGACTCAAAAACACTCACCTCAAACGTAAGATATATATCATCTGCAAAAAAAGACTCGTAAATGTCTCCATGAGCACCGATCAAGGCCAATACATGATCCCATTGTAGCACCACCGCTGAACTAGTGCACCAGAGCATGGTTCGTGGATGACTTAACTTTTCGGCAGACTGAGAACGCACGTCTGTCTCTGGAGAGAGTAACATGACTGAAACGCGTTGGGTTAAATCGACTTGTGAGTGTATCTCGGACATGCGAAGATTTGTGACAAGTAATATGCCATTGTCGAAGTAGATAGAGACGAACTTCATATTGGAGGAAACTTTCATGAGCTTAATCTCCGAATGGGCAAATTGGCTGAGAGCAGGAAGATCAACCTGGATAGAAGTAAAAAGTGAACGCTGATGGGGGTAAAAATCACAAATGGAATTTAGAAACGTGATTACTATCGCTACCTGAGAGTAGCAAAGTGAGTGAGAAAGAGCGTAGTGTAAATTATGATACTTGATCATGATCGAGGAGAACTCCCCAAAAGTAACCAAAATGAGATGGTATCAAAGTGTAACTTCTTCGGTTGAGAACGAGAAATGATAAAATGATGATGAAATGATAAAATGATAATAGAGAACATATTGATTGAGAAAATACAGTCAACACAGCGCAACGCATTTACGGTAGTGATGAGTATGCTTTAAGCTGAGGTGCCGCATAAGAGCGTAGGGAAAGACCGAGTAATATCCAAACAGGAACGACTGGATATTTGTGATCAATACCTAGTCGAAATGATAACTGACTCGTTTAATACGCGATCTAGAAAATAGACTCTCGAAGTTTCATTCAACCAGATTTACCAGCTTCCTTGCTGGTCAGTGATTGCTCTGCTCCCTCTAGTGCATACGTTGGAGGCAAGACAGACCAGTTGAAATCGAATAAGGCCTTAAAGTCCAATGGATTTGTTTCATGCCTCTAAATTATTGGGACCAACTGTTGTGTATTTGGTTTACTCGATTTATTACTGAAACTGTAGGAGTATGAAAATGCTCCTTTATAATGCCGTGATTCCAAACGGCCTCGTGTTCGGAATGTGTCAATCATAGAAGCTCTAACGCTTCTAAATTACCTACGTCTCTCCTTCTCCATAGACCGACTTGTGCTCGTGAAAGACAGATTCAGAAAGAGCAACTCGGCTTTCGTCGAAATCAAGTTTGCATTTATCGCATCTTTATCTTACACCAACTGTTGAAGTACTGCCACCCTTAGTTATGTTCCTCGACTCAAGCCCCATCGTTCTGGTGGGTTTATGTGCTCCTCAGAATTATCTGATTCGAAGGGGTGTGAATACGCCAATATTATGGAGGAACTTCGCGCGCTATATACAGGCTTATGGCAAGCTGCCGCTGCTATTTCTTCGGTATTAGCATCATCATTATTATATATGATAGCTAGAGTTGGAAAACACCTCAGCTACTGTGCCGCAATACATAAAAGAAAAATGAAAATCGCGTGCAACAGACGCATGCCAGCTGAGGTACCAGCAACGGATGGGCATCGTTCTGGAAAACTACCAGCCGGCTGCTATACAGCAAAAAAGTCTACTATGCAAAATTAGATTATGCTAAGAAATGAGAACGTGGTTGGAGGGGAGGTTAAGAGGGATGGGGAGGGACAAAAAAACCACATCACGAACGCCACTGCTCATAGTCATGTCAGCAAGTGTATCCAGCCAAACGTGCTCATCGTCTTTCGGACCCCAACCAGGGAGCCAATAGGATCGAACCAAGGCCAGCTTCGAAGTGAGGGCCTTCATTCCTCTCGACCAGGTCGTGGCTTGGCCATCTCTCCTCTTCTTCCATCCACATCCCCGGCGCGCAAATAACGCACGTCGCGGGAGCCGGCGCGCTGGCATGCACAACACGTTGGCGAGGCATCGGAGCCTGGTGCGTGAAATAACGGTGCTGAGCGTTTCTTTTCCTGTGCCGTAAACAGGGCATCGAACAAGTTTGTTGCTCACGCGGTATTCCCACCAGGTGTGAGCCAAACTGCGAAGGCACCGATAGTCGAAAGTAACTAACCTTTTTATGTCGGCTGATCTAAAGGGTCAGATTTCACAACCGTACAGTAGAGTCGAACGTACCGCTGCACTGTACACTTTCACCTTCAGGGCGAGAGTGATATGGCGCCGGCGCCGTAAAAAAAATAGGTATATTTCTCTTGATAAGAGAAACTGTGTCTATAGCGGCACAGATCAATTTGTACAGAAAAATCCATGCACAGGTGGAGTATCGGGACATGCGTTTCATGTATTAAAATTCTGCCGGATGGTTGAGGCCAAAGCCTAGTTATGAAAACATTGATGATTATATGTTTTTGGGCCCCTCTTGGAATAGCTCAGCGAGAGATTTTTCCCATGTGAATATGGAGCTTAAGGGAAGTTAGATCAAGGTAATTGGCGAGTCTGCTACTAAATGTTGTCACATGACCTGAGTGTTAGCGGTAGTTTATTCCACAGATAGCTGTATCTGATTAGGAAGATATTAGAGCGAACGTTCGTTCTAGCCTTCGGTATATTCAACGTAAAATCTTTGTTGCGAAGCGCTCGGGTTGAACAATGTTGTAAATTGAGTGTAGGCAGGTTGGAATAGGTCTTTATGTTGTGCTTCAATCGTCGAATCCAAAGTGGTTCGAGATGAAATTCAGTGTAACGTTCTCGATAACTCATAGCAGTGTTTACCAATCAGATATTTAGTAAATGAGCTCTGCAGGCGGTCCACAGCAATTCTATCACTCTCATATTTCCGTATATTATGCTGCAGTATTCGAGGATGGGGCGAGTGAGTAGCTTGAAAAGTTCAACTCTAGCACGAGTTGTGTGTATTTTGTTTGACATATTGAACACAGACTGTCTGGCACGTGCTACTTGGTATTGTGCCCGTTCGGGGAAATTGAAAGTAGAGGAGTACCTAATGCCAAAATCTCGCGTGGACAACTGTGTAAGGACGCGTTCATTGTTTAGGATGATAGATCCTTCGGGGATGCAGCAGCCGTAAGACATGATGCCTGATTTCTTAGCCGAGAGGTTCATCACCCATGTGCAGCACCATGACTCAAGGGAATGTAAATCATCTTGAATGAGCAGTAATGTCCAGTGAAGCTCATCACGCCGAAACTTATGGACTAGTTTGATATCGTCAGCAAATAAAAATTATGTACCATGTTTTACAGATGTGGTGATGTCATTGATGTAGAGCAAAAAGAGTAAGGGACCGAGCACGCTCCCTTGAATGACCCCAATGGTGATTGAGCGTGGGGAAGAGCGGTAATCACCTAGAGTGACTATCTGATGGTGATCACTCAGGTATGACGATAGCCAACCTAGTAATGGGTCCCGGATCCCAAAGTTCTCCAACTTTTGTAACAGCCGCTTGTGCCGTACTCGGTCGAATGTCTGATGTATGTCGAGAAACAATGTTACTACTGCATAGCTGGAATCGATTGATTCTGAAATGTGATTAAGGTAATGCAGTTGACAGGTGGTGCACGATCGCTTATTGAGAAAACCATGCTGCGAATTGTTAATCAGGCTAATAGAATCAACAAAGTTTATCATCTCCATTCTGACCAGCTTCTCAAATAGCCGAGCGATTATCGGAGTGTGGTGGATTGGTCGGTAGTTATCAATCGTTTGTTTGGGACCTCCTTTATGCCGACGTTATCCATTGGTCTGAAAAGTGGCCAGCTTCCAGCAATAGAGTGAACATGCTCATCAGCAGCGAAGGTATATCAGGTCCTAGTTTGATGGCGGTTGGTGAAATGCCATCAGATCCCAGCTTGGAAGATGGCCTGATTAATCTGATAACTTGATGGATAGCGTTGAGCGAGATATCGACTTTGCTTAAGAAGTTTGTTTCTGTGAGCTCTGTGCACACAGGCACCGGGTCAGCTTCGCGACTCGTAGTAGTGGCAAAAAGTCGCTGAATGCTTCACAGATTTCAGCTGGGTCATGGAGTAAATGATCCTCACCATCGACAATTTCGGTAATCAGAAGAGAGTGGTCACTGGTTCTACGTGCAGTATTTTGACAAGCTACCTAGCTTTGTAGATTGTCAGTAGGGCTGTATGTTCTTCATCTCTTCGTCGTGTTAATTGTGCGTGTTTCACTCTAGTGGTAAATTCATGCATTTGTAAGACAAGTGAAAAATCATGGGTCCTTCTTTATCTTGCAGCTAACCTTTGGTTTTATTGCTGATTAAGTGCTCGACGGAAGGTTTGGAGACATGAGGGGTATGAATACATTGTGGAGCAAGGAGGGCTATAGCGTGATGGATTTGTTTATAGAACTGCATCACAGCGGTGTACACACTGGTAGAGAGGAAATATACATTCCAGTCGGAGAAACGAATGAACTGCTGTAAGCATTCCCAGTTTATCTTATGGGTTGCAACCGGCATTGTAGAGGCGAGTTTAATGACCATTTTACTTTGGCGAAGGTTAACAAAAGCGCTTCGAGCTTTCGCTATAAAGGTTCTTGATCTTACCTTAGATCCAAGGGCGGTGACACAACTTCCCAGATAGTTAAATACTTGAAGGACTTCTAGCTGATACTCACCAAGGGTCAGCGCAAGAGGCGGCCCATGCCAATCTTGGAGGAAAGCTTTGCACTTCGAGGGTGCGAAGCAAAGCCCGAAGCGGCTGACAGTCACTGCTAATCTGTCCAATGCAGCTTGGCACGTTTGGGAGCTGTCGCATATGAGGGCAATATCGTCAGCATACTCCAAATCTAGAAGTCGTTCGCCTGGGAGCAGCTCCACACCTTCTGACAAATCCATGGAAATTGCGTTTACTAGAAAGGACCTAAATTCCGTGGAATTGCTTCTCGACCTGGAATTCGCAGACGACGTTATCATAAGCCGTGATGGTTTAAAAACCTACAAAATAACGTGGAAAGATTGACAATGGCTATCAGTCTTTTCGATCTGCGCTTCGGACCCACAAATTGCAAAGGCTTCGTTCAGGATTGACGGCACCCCTTGGAAGGATCAGCTAGAAAAGTGCGCCCAAAATTTAAACACCTGGACAGTCGCATCAGCGCCTGTGGAAGATAAGGTTACATAACAAAAAGCAAAACCATGGGACTTCGCCACTTGGAGTGTCGGAGCGACATCACACACTCCATGAAGGGTAGAATCTACGCTAACTTCCGTTCCGTTCTACCATAATGATACGGAATCTGGCCCATTAGATCAACGGATGCAAGAAGGCTAATAACATTCGATCACCGGTGCATTCGCATTTTTGCTCGTGTGTGGCGGGGATGCGACTTGGGCACTCTGTTCGCCGTCTTATTGGTAGCACAGGAAAAGTAAGTGAACCACCGACAACCGTAAGTTCTTGCACCAGGCTCAGACATTTGGGTCGCGTGTTACGCACGCCAGCACATCGGCTCCCATGTCGTTCGTTGTTTTCTCGACCAAGGTTTGAGTGGAAGAAAAGGAAGGGGGCTAACTTGATCAGGAGTAATGAGAGCCCTCACTTCGAACATGGACTCAGTTGGTGCCTCCCGGATCGGGGTACGAAAGACTATGAGCAAATTTGATTGGATACACCTGTTGACAGAGTCAGTGTCGAGATACCGCTCCGTGATTCAAAATAAAGACCGGGCAGCAATCCGAAAGTCTACTATTAAGGAACGAAGGATCATTCTTTAATGTGCACAAGTTTGAATCACTACTTTACTGTACTGCACTTTTGCTAGTTGATTCTTGTTAACCATCCGTCCGAGTTCATTGACGGGCGCTTGCCGTTAGTTCACTGCTGTTTGGACCATTCTATCTTGTTTGGGAAAAAGTGGCGCTTTGTGCACAACACCGAAAATCAATTCGGGACTGTCCATCCGGTCGTGTATACGTGGTCAGCTTGCGCCGGTGGTACTGAATAACTTTCCAGTCGCTGCCCGATCTCTTCCGCTAACTAGGTCGATCAGCCACCATCTCGCTGTGGGTCGTCCGCTCAGGGTCAGTGCAGCGCACTGACATCTTGCTTGCATTCGTCCAGGACCGAAACCGCGCCTGAGTCACAACGATGCAAAACAATTACACACTGTTTATCCGTCCCGTGTAATCGGGGTCAACTTGAACTGGCAGTGCCAATTGGCTTTCTAGTCCACTGGCGTCGGTTTCACTCGCGTAACCTGCCACCTACGATCACAACCAGGAGTCGGTCTCAATGGTGTTTGTGTTGTGAGTTTCGTTATTACCCCCCCCACGTGGCAGTTCTGATGCAGTGAGCATAGAATAGGATTATGCAGCTCACATTAATTTGCCTTTCCGAACTTTGAATCTAAAGCATCACGAGAGTGGTCAGCGATACATATCTTGACAGTGTATTATGTTCCATGTGGCGAACGTCTCACGCTCCTGGATTAGTGTGACAAAAATAACTAGTTTGGCCGACGCCGCTTTCATAATCAATTTCGGTGGCGCACGTTTGCCCGCAACTGCTCCGTAATTTCTATGGGAATAGGACTACAAATAGGCGTTTTAACCAAACGCATTGTTCCGCTCCTCGAGTGTCATCCAAATTCAACTCTTTTTCATTCATCAGGTAAGGAAGCGATAAGGTCAACAGGTGGACAAATGCGCATTACTTTGGTGGGGAACTCTGTCACGACTGGATAATCCAAAATAAATAAACCGAAAGCTATAACGTTCAAATGATTAGTAATTGTAATAACGTTCACGGTATCAACAAGAAAAGGGGAGGAATGAAAGACAATTGTAAAGAGCGCAATCGGAATCAGAGAGAGACTGGGTTCATACACCAACCATCAATAAAGAACGAGAGGGTGTAACCGACGGTACATGTAAACAATATTCAACACATCAGAAAAAGATGCACTTATCCGACCGGCTCGACATACCCGAATGGCAGCTGAAGTTCTGGGAGGTGAAACCTACCGGCAGACACCGGAAAGCTGTCTCATCAGAAGCTCTACGGTTAATCGAAGAAACCAGCGGAAAACAACAGCCCATAGAAAGGTCAGCGCGTATTGTGCTGACTCGTCCGAAGTATGGCATTGTGAAGAGAATAGATGGGAAATATGAGTGTCGAAAGGAATAAACAGATTATTGACTATCGAACCCATCGTCTTGAATACTAAATGAGTCAACTTAGCCAATGCGCTGTCCCTAACTAAGTCTCCGTTGGGGTTAACTTTAAGAACACCAATCAAGATTATGTGCGACACAAACTAGTGATGCAGAAACAGAACGAGGTGATTGGTCTAGACAACATTTCTCCATTGTAACTAAAAGACTACGAAAAACCAACGGTGGATGGGCGGGTCATTCTATAAAACTGCACGGTGCCCGAGAGAAAGGGTTATAAATCTGGTGACCATTAAACGTCCATCTGGTCTTGAAATTAAAACGACGTAAATTACGAGAGTCATCGAGTGTCATCGCACTTATTCCGAATGCTAACGTGCGCTGCATATCGGCTGCTTGCCAGTCCTCACGGGAACTATGCCAGTGGAAGTATGACCGCTGGATGCCATGTTAGATGTGACGATTGCGCAACTAACATTATCAGACTCCAGATAAGTGCCGACTACATAGAAAGACAGTTGTGGACGCCTTTCTTCCACTACGAGTTCAGTTGTGTGCACGTGGAGCTGTCGTGAACAGTGTGTTTGTTAAAATTCTCTTAACTAACGTACAATACAATAGCCCGGGTGTTATGATCTACTTATGTCTGGGGATTCTAGTTGAACTGAATTCGTCCCCCGCCAGCTCCGAAAACCAGAAGGCAACGCTTGAAGACAAAAGTGTGCTGCGGAATCAGTTACCGAAGCGGACACAAGTAGTGTGGAAATCAGTGAATATTTATTGCCCCCCCCCCCAGAAATGTTTGCGTTTCAGAACAGCTAGGTCAGTTGCCCTGGTTGGTAGTACATTACCGCTGTCCCATGAGGTAGGTACGTGAGTCGTGTAGACCTGAATGTTCCTGATGCGAGCATTCCTGAAACGTCTTGATGTTTCTTTTGTAAATCATTAGTTCGAATCGTTTCCCACTGAATTAATGAGTTTTCCTGGGAGATTTTACTCTCTCTGACACCGGGTATTTGTAAAAATTTGCAGCGAGCTATATTGTGGATTTGCCGTTATAAGTGAGGTGCATAAGGGATGCTCCATGTGGCCCTTTCCAAGTTGTAGTCGAGACGACAAGAGCAGGTATGCCCTGTGTGCTACGCAAGATGATTGGCTGAAGAAAACACGTACCTGGAGCAAATGATGGTGAATGGCTTCAAGAAGAAAGCTGCACGCTCTGACACGTGTCACATGCAGTTAATGTGCAAGGAACCGCTGTAACAAGCCGTCAACCCTCTATCCCCTAGCAGCTACCCTGGGTTGTCGGTTATCATCCCACTTATCAATTCAGCCGTAATTGGCTTTCCGAATAACCTCAACATGGTGCCAGCTGGGTGGTTTGAGTTTCGTCCGTTCCAGCAAATGGTCCGACGACAGTGTTCCAGGATGTGGAGGGTTTCGCCTGGCAAGCGTTCTCCCTAGAAAAAGTCACATGTCCGTTTAACAACACTGCGAGGTGGCGGATGTGACTCGCGCAGACCATATCCATCTGACGAGTCCAAGCGAGGACGAAACCGGTCGTGGAGTGTCAATGTTGGGAGGAGCGACACCGAGTCATCCCCACTTCGGACACGGCCCTTGTGATCGGAATGGCCGAGGTCCTAATAGAGATTGCGTGTCGCAATCCAACCACGAGGCGGGTACTCCAAATCCAACTTTCAAGGTCATTGTCCCTTGCTTCACTCTGGTGGAGCATTGTACTCCAGCAAAGTGATACTGAAATTGTGGGGAGGATTAGGCCCCTGTTCGGTAACTGACCAAACTAAGGGCGTATGAACTGAGCAATCAGTTACCGGCTCCCAATGGGCGCAATTCCTTGAATTCGCTCCGCTACGTAGCGGACAGAATATTCCGCCAGTCCAAACTACCTCGGCTTGAGCGACCGGGTAGTGTCGTGCTCTTTGACGAAACCATGGACCTCCGTGTTGCGTTCAGTTTTCTTTTTACGACAACAAGTACATCAAATGACCTCTCAATCAGTCATGAACAGTTGTGCCAAGTGTTGCCCGTCGTGATCCAGTAGCCAAAGTTGTAGAGGTTTCAGCTACTATTTCAAAGGTTCAGAATTCGAAACCTACTATCCCCACTTGATAAGATCAAATAAGATCGGAACGCGTCGAGGTGGGCAGTTTTTTTCGAGGTGGGCAGCACCCAATTTCATCTGCTTCGTCTACGGTCCCAGTGATCGCATTGACCAAGGTTCACTTTCAATGTGAAGCGCAGTCTACAATGAGACTGCGCGTCGCAATCCATTCACACAACGATTACCTCAAATACTCATCGCAGACCAATCACCGGAGATCAGTGCAATTACAAGTGAAGCAATCGTAGCTTTATTATGTCTGAGAACGTGTACTCTAAAGATGCTGCTTGTTGCTGGTGGAGTCATCAAGTGGGTATCGCAGTTATCCGTCAGTCTGTATTCTACGACAGTCTGGTATCAAATCGTGCCATTTTTCGATACAGAACCGCCCACCTTAGTAATTTCGTGTTCTTCGTACGCTTGCTGGCCGTAGACATGGATGTGTGTTATTTGTCGAATCAAACACTAGTGTAGATGGGTAAACATGCATGAGGAAATTAACGTAGACAGAATCGGGATGGTACCAGTTATCACTTGGATAGAGGTCATTGAACTAACTACACAGAGGTCAGGAAACTTTTTCCACTCGACTGTTGTGGCCTAAACGCTTTTACAATTTTCATGGTAGCCTGAATCAAGACGGTTAAATTCACTGCTTTTAGCGCAAGGATCAGCTGACAAACCAAAGTGAACTAAGCTTGTGTCTACTCTGAAGGAGATGCATGATTTCCGTGAGCTTAGACTATGAGATTATCTGAATCTGCTTGCCAATGGCTGAACATTAATACAAAGGCAAAGTTTGTGAAAACTCAATTTGTAATAAAAAACTTACGTTTTCCATGGTATTAAAGTCTGCCCTGAAAATCGACCTTTTCCGTGAGAAAAGCACCCATGGAGGTTGAAAATCGTCTGGATTAGATCCAGCTCGACCAGATATGTCCAGGGGAGTTGTGACTATTTCCCACAAAGAGATAGGTTGCACGGGTCCGGAAAAATGAGCCACACGTCGAATTCGCGGAGTTTCTATGCTGGAAGCAACGAATATCTGATTGCCAGTGGTCAGCACAGCAACGCCGGTATGCTGTGGAAGAAGCCACATATATAATCAAAAGAAAGTTGATTTCAAGTACAAACTGCATCAGTGTGGTTCATTGGGAAATAAAAACTGGAACGTCATTGCATGTCGGGAATTTTCATGACACGAGTGAAAAATAAAACCCGTGTTTCGATTTGCAACGGGAAAAGGGTAGTTAGCCAGAGACTTACTGTATGCAGAAGGAAGAATCGAGCATCCAAAATCTCGCGTTCTTCGGCTTCAGATCCCATGCTGAAACGGCGAACATAGTTGCCCGATAAATCCGAGATAGAAACGAATCCACTCTTTTGAACGACTAACAACTCTTCTGAGTTACTCCAACACAATGCCACTGGAGGAGAGTCCTTCCACTAAAAACATTAAAGCAAAAGGAGCAACTCACTAGCTGTTGAGAAACCAGCCTTCCCGATGCTGTGAATATTTGAAGAACGGGTTTACATCCCGCTTGTGCATCTAGCAACATGGCTAAGCACATGTACATCAGCCGAAAACTAACTGGCTCACCAATATAACCGCAATTTTCGCCTATAGCCACTTTGAATTGTCTGAATGAAAAGCCAGTACCCCATGGCATATCATAAAGATGCAGAAATCTGACATCCGCTTTGATGCGAGAACCTACCTAAAGTAGACTTCACCGACGGAAAACCAATCCTCGCCTAAGGACTTCATCTTCTGAATCTCCGATGAAACAGAGATTCCAACTTTAAAAGTAATAAGCTCGTGTGAAAGGATAAGGATTCCTACTCTAGAAAAGCTGGAACAAAAATGTTAGGGAAGTAACGTCATAAAAATGCATCATAAGGTGAAATGCAAGAGGATTTAAAGGTAAGCACTGGGTCAATGATGCTCCGCTGGGTACACAAAGTGCAATAAATAAGCTGATAAATTACGGTGGAAAGCTGTTTAACAAAACTTGACCGTGGAGCGAGCAACTATAACAAATATGCAGAACCGTACATGCCCACTCCTAGTGGCAAAGAAAAGGTATCGTGCAGCATATGGTGGGAGAAAAAGGGGAACCTACATTTGCTGCTTCAGATGGCTAGAACAATTAGGTCATTCGTTTGATGCTGGGGGATATATATATATATGCTGATGAGAATCCGACAGCTCAGTGACTCGTTGCTGCTTTAGTTCTGCTGCGGATTCATGCTATGGACACCTAGTGACAACCGCTAACACCCTTCTGCTGGCTAAAAGCCAGGACTCATCCAACTGTGTCGATTGATGCATAGCGCATTTCTCGCTGCTGTTCGGGAGTCCGTTTTATGACAGGGCTTGGCCGAAGACCCGGGTTGTTCTTTTGTTCAGGTGTGGACGCCCTGGCTGTACACCAATCAAATAATAAAACGAACAACTACAAATAATCTCACGCTGCATTGACCGTCACGCAGAGGGGGGAGGGGGAATGGTCGTCTTATCTGCTGCACGCAGCGGGGTTAATAAGCGAAGACATGCTACCGCTGGCACCTGCTTTCTTTTTCCCATTCCTCGCCACATTTTCCTCTTCAATACCCCAGTTCACTTGACCCAGCCTGTGTGCCACAACCCCCCACATCAACTCATTACCCTTGTGATCGCCCAGTGCACCCATATGTCTCTGCGGAAAGCGCTCAAGATCGGATGCTGGACCGGAATAGGAATGAGCGCCCCGAGCGTTGCACCACTGGTTGCGATGGAACTCGCGCACTAAGGCATTGGCATTGCCGCACTCAACGAGATCCAGCTGGCTTACCAAAGCAAGCTGTACGAGGAGTAAGTCTACTAGGTGGGAAACGCCAGCACAGCATCACGCAAACATTGGGTCGGATTTGCATTATCCGACCGCCTGAATGGCCATTTGATGGAAGAGTTAATTGGTGACACTTCATCTTCCCCACCTATGATTCCATCAAGTGTTATCCTGGTGACACGAAAGATCAATTTCACTCTCAATTGTCCTCAGTGATACGGTCTCTGCCGAGGAGCGATCGGCTATTCCAACCGGGTGATTTCAAAACGCACGTGGGGCGCGCTGTCGCGGTCTAGACAGACTTCATCGGGCTGTATGCTATTGGTTCAAATAATAGGTAATTGCGACCGAGTGCTCTCACAGTGCGCCACCCATGGCTTGCCGATCACAAACTCACAGCTTCCACTGGGTGGGAGTGATGTTGCAACTTAGACGCACCCATGGACTGGTCATACTTACCTACCCGACTGCTATCGTACGTCAGTGTGTCATGTGAAGTGCGTGTGACACGGGTACTGCTTAGAGCTGAGTATGGAACTGATCACCAAAAATTAATCCATGTATCCATGTATTGTTTACCTTCCGTGAATCAGTATGAATTTTACGTTCGTTCCCTAGGTACCTTTCAGAAGAGGATCAAACTGGAGAACGCAATGGCGACGTCGACTCAGCCGGTTTAGTCAGTGACCTGTGACCCCAGATCAAAGAAAGCGGTGGTCGTTGCCACCGAGGAAAACTGGTAACTTTCGCTGCTCCGCGCCATAATCAGCACCAAACACACTTTAAACAGGCAGTCGGACTAGGAGAAAACAACAGGCGCATCGCTGCTACTGTCTGCGAACCATGTCCTGTAACGTCTCGAGTCAAGCGTAAGCTGAGTAACGTGGACTCCAGCCTGGAAGGAGAGATGGACCAACGGCATTTAGTTTTGCGGGGAATTTCCCATTTAAATTTTGCTCATATTATGACGAGCCACTCCACATCTGGCAAACAAAACACGCCTCGGTAAGCGGTGACCGGGCATAAGTAGTATGTGCCCAAGCCGACGAAACGTATTTAGTGCTATCTGTTGTTCCAAGCCTAATTTTCACTGTCTGGTACTCGCCTACGCGTATCATTGTTGCGGATACGCTGGTGCTATCCGACACCGGCAATGCTTCGTAAACAGCGATGATCAAAGGCTTGAAGGCGCGTCAGATCCCAACACCAAAGGGGCCAAGGCTTACTCCTATATAGTATGACGGCTCTCAATGTAGCTCTGTAAACAGTCCTTCAGAAATCCTCTTCTGCCGCTACGGATGTCGCGGATTCAATAAGACAGTTCTAGCTTTCGCGATACGTGAACCTACTACAGTCGTTATGCGCCCATCGTTGCTGATGCAGCTGCTAAGTTAAGTGAATTGATTAACTACCCTACTCCCTACCAAAAGACAAGGAGTCGTCAAGTGGCTGGTGGTCCTGTACCAGCACTTAGCACTTTTAAAATGCGAAGCGCACATCAAATGATGAGACCACTTTAGATAGGGTATTCAGGATTGACTGAACCAATTTAACATGGTTAAACAGCAAGACAACGTGGTTGACATAATCAAAATCAACAAATTTTCTATCAGGTAGCAAACCAATGCCTCCATCACGGGATCATCATCACCATCATCAATACACATGAGCCGAGGGTGAGGAACACACCTAAGCTAATGTGCCGCAATACCAAAAAGATAAGGGGCTGAACAAGACAGACTAAAAATCTATAATAAAAAGTAACAATGCTAAAATTCGCATTATGCATAGGGTTTGAGATAGTTGTTGGAGGGGGAAGTTGAAGGGGAGGGGAGAGACAAAGAGACTCACAACACAAATGTCACTGAGGTCGGCTCTTCGTCATGTCAGCTAGTGTATCCAACCAAACGTGCTCATCGTCCTTCGATCTCCAGCTCCCCAGTCGGCCGACATAAACCGACGCCAACTTGAAAGTGAGGGACTTCATTCATCTTGACCAAGTCATTGTTTGGCCTCTCCTCCTATTCCATCCACCTCCACCCCCGACGTAAAAACAATGCGTCGCGGGAGTCAGTGTGATAACCTAAACCTCAGACCCTGGTGCTGAGCGGTTCACTCGCTCTTCCTGCACCCAACACACGGCGCCGAACACGCTCATTGATCATGCGACGTCCCCAGCAAATATGAGCTATGCTGCGAAGGGAACGATGGTCGAACGTAACAGATCTTTTTAAGTCTGTCGACTTGCTGGGCCAGGTTTGGCAACCGTAGAGGAGAGTTGAAGTAACGGCTGCACAGTAAACTCTGCCCTTCAAGGCGAGAGTAACGTCACACCGGCGCCACAGGTGGCGCCGGAGGTGGTGAAGGATATCAAAACTGCCTCGACATTTTGTTATGTGGTTTGTGATTTCATCTTCAATTCCGCTGGCGCTGACATGCCTGGATACTTGAATTTCTCGACTTCTAGATGATCATCACCAAATGTCAGCGCAGCGGTGAGTCCCTGCCAATCTTGGAGCAGGAATTTTCCTTTTGAAGGTGCAAAGCATAGCTCGAAACGACTGACAGCCAATGCTAATTTGTCCAATGCCACTTGGCACGTTTGTGAGCTGTCACAGATAAGGGTAATGTCGTCGGCGTACTCCAAGTCAAGAAGTCGATCACCTGGGAGCAGCTCCACGCCTTGCAAGTCGTATTCAGTAAATTCCATGGAGATACAGCGCCAAAGTATGAGCACAATACTCCAGATGTGGCTCAACTACTGCTTTGTACAATGTCGGCAAAATTTCCGACTGGGTGTTACACGTGTAATACAAAGGACGCTATGATGCGCCCTCTTGAATGGGCGGTGCGAACAAGCGAAGGTGTTCATTGAGCTTATTTGTTGAGCAGAAAGGAGAACCATTGTCAGCTCCGCCGATCCTTAATCATTGTGGATTTTATGCGCACCGTTGCGAGACATTCCTAAAGGTTCGTAGCGCTTGCAGTGACGGCAGCAAGATACCAGCGTCCTAATCGTGTAGTCGTTTAGAAGCCGCTTGTAATTTCCCTCCGATGGTGTGTCCACAAGTTTTTCCGGTAAACAGTTGCAAGGAAAGTGAGTTCAAGTAAGACTGCAACGATAGAATTATCCCATTATTGTTTTTTCTTCAGTGGACCTTCGAATCGGAAGTTGACGAAGGGCTTTGAAATGTAGATGGACCGCATCACGCTCTGACTAACCAAGTACTACCAAAGTATCCTGCTCTAGCAGACCCTGCTGAGCCGGTTACGTGAAGTAAAAACGAGGAAACAGTAAAATCAGAAGGAAAGAAATGGAACGTAGCTAAGTGATTATAATACTAAGTTATGTTAGGAGTTAAATAAATAAAACTGAAAGCCGAAGATGAGTCAGTTGGGTGAAAGGCATAGGGTTGACACCAACATCAGCAGTAAACCATTACGCCGTACTGACGCTTCACTGCCACGCAACCGCCATTGGTCGCACGAGGGCCAAATATGCTGCGACGGTCGCCTAGTCTCCTACGCCGGCTCGAACTCGCGACCTCCGGGTTGCAAGGCAGATGCATTGTCCTTTCGGCCACGGGTCGGCTGCCACCCAAGAGCGTTGAGCTGACGCGCAAAACTCTTAACCGTAAATTCCTAAATTACGTGATCTAGAAACGAGTTCCAGCGCCCTGTAACTCGGCATCGCAAACGAGTTACCGCCCTAACCCGATCAGAGCGCGGTTTGCGCAGTTTCAATGGGCGACCGCGGAGATTAGGTACCTTAGCGAGACTGAATAGCCAAGACAGTTCTGGGCCAATCTTGCCGACAAATTAAGATAAGTGAGGGTCTAGTCCCCTTCAGTAGTGCATTGAGTACATCCCAAAACCAAGCAAACGTAGACTCTGCACTAACCTAGTACCCACTCGTAAGACCCTCTTCAACTCTATCTTGTCTTCACCGTCATTATCGTCATCTTACATAAGCTGAAAGCGAAAAACGCTGGATAACTGTGCCGCAATACAAAGGATAAGATATATGAAGAGCGAGATACTAAACATTACAGGATACAAAGACTAAAAAGCAAGTAGTATAATGCTAAGTGAAATGTTATCCATACGGTGTGATCGTTGCTGTAGAGGGTAAACGGGAAGGGAACAAAAAAACTCACAACGCAAACGCCACTGAGGTTGGCTCCTCGTCATGTTAACTAGTCTATCCAACCAAACGTGTTCATCGTTTTTCGGACCCCAACCCGGCAGTCAGCAGATACCAATCGACACAACTTCGAAGTGATGGACTTCATTGCTCTTGACCAAGTCACCGCTTTGCCTCCCACCATCATCATCATTATCAGTACACATCAGCTGAAGGTGAGAAACACACTTCAACTATTGTACCGCAATACATAAAGATAATACATATGAAAAAGCAAGATGCTGAAAATTATAGAATACTAAGAAATAGGCGAGACTATTTAGTAACATATTATGTGACAAAGAGGGAGATCGTGGTTGGATAGGGAAGATAAGCTAGATGGGGAGGTGCAAAAAAACCACAACACAAACGCCATTGAGGTCGGCTCCTAGCATTTCAACTAGTTTATTCAACCAAACTTGTTCATAGTCCATCGGACCATAGCCAGGCAGTCGGGACACACCAACTGACACTAACTTCGAAGTGAGGGATCACATTCTACTTGACCAAGTCGCCGCTTAGCCTTCCCTCCTCTTATTCCATTCACACTCCCGGCGCAAAAACAACGCACCTTGCGGGAGTCAGTGGGTTGGCATGGGCAACACGTGGCCCAGCCATCGGAGCATAGTGCGTGATGGTGCTGAGCGGTTCACTCGCTCTTCCTGCACCAAATACACGACGCCGAACACGCTCATTGCTCAAGCGGTGATCCAAACAGACGAGCTAAGCTGCGAAGACAGCAATGAGCGAACCTGTCGACTTGATGGGCCGTTTCGCAACCATACAGTAGGGTTGAACGAACAGCTGCACAGTAAACTGCTCTTCAAAGCGAGAGTAATGTCATGCTGACGCCACAGGTGGCGAAGGTTAGCAAAATCGCCTCGACCTTTTGCTATGCGGTTTGTGATCTCATCTTCAATTCCGCTAGCGCTGATACAGATGCCTAGGTACTTGAATTTTTCAAATTCTAGCTGGTTCCCATCAAGCATCAGCGCAGGAGTGGGTTCCTGCCAATGTTGGAGAAGGAATTTGCATTTTAACGATGCAAAGCATAGCCTAAAACGACCGACAACCAGTGCTAATCCGTCCAGTACCACTTGGCACGTTTGTGGGCTGTCACAGATAAGGGCAATGTCGTCGACGGAATTCAAGTCATTAAGGCGGTCATCTGGAAGCAGTTCCACACCTTTTAGGTCGTGTCCAATCAACATAGTTTCCCTTATCTCGTCGATGGAGAAGGTGACAGCGGGCATCCTTGTCTCACACCGCTGGAGATATTGAAGGGCGGTGACAGTCACTCTGCCCGAACTATGCGCGTACATCGCTCTTATGACATTTACATAATTTTCGGGCATACCTTTCCTCAGTAGACAGTCCCAAAGGCTACGGCGATCGACCGAATCGAAGGCACCTTTGATGTCGAGGAACACGACTACGTTCGCTCGCCGATAAATATGACGGTGCTCTAACAATTGACAGTGTGTGGATGTGATCAATACAACCGCGACTTCGATGAAACCTGGCTTGCTTCTCGCGAATCTGGCTTTCACGTGCGCCAGCAAGTATACGGAAAACGATAGAGGCGGATATTTTAGAAGCAATTTAGCTCAGGCTGATCCCTCTATGGTTGCCGCATTCAGAACTTGAGCCATCCTTGAAAATGGGGACTATTACCGAGCGTTTCCAGTCTGTTGGGACAGTTTCTTGCTCCCACAGCTTCACAAGTAAATTGTGCAGCTGAAGGTGTTTCGGTGTTGCCCCTCCCAACGCTGACACTGAAACATCTCCATTTCGGATCCGGTCTTTGTGATCGGAATGACCAAGGTCTACTTCAAAGAGAACCGAGGTCTCAATAGAGATTGCGTGTCGCAATCTAACCATACGGCGAGCAATCCAAATCCAACTTTGAAGTTGTGCAGATCATCTGCAAGAGCAGGTCCCCCAAATCTGAAGAAAGTTGGATGGATTCTATCCGCTCCTGCGGCCTCACTTACTTTCAACACTCTGATCTGACTTTCGACCTCCGCGCGCGACGGCGGGTCCATGGGGACGGTCCAGGGAGAAGGACGATTGATAGCCGAAGGACGAGCTGGTAACTCTGGATGATTAAGCTGTTTTTCAACGGGTTCAGCTCAGCGCTCCAAGCGTTTTGAAAAACAGGATCAGCCGTCCACCTTCAACACGTATGGTCTTACCAACACCAGGTCTCCTTCTGCCCGTTTCGCGTATCAAACGGAATAACTTTTGGTGGTTACCAACACTATGAACTTGGCCTCCGATCCTCTTCTCCCATCCAGGCACCGGTCGCGATATCCAGATTCAGGTCGCGGACAAGCCTGGATGCGGTGTCCCAAGTGGAGTCGCACGAATTCACAAACACAACGGCCGCTACAACACTGAAGGAGCGGCGGAAAATTGCCTCAAATGGAGCCCTCTACAAGCAGTTTTCTTCCAATTACTGTCAGAGTAAAAAGCTGATGAGTGGCCAACACCTAAATCAATCTGCTGAGCGACAACAGGGATTTCGCCACCAAGGACAACATATCGTGTGGGAGGAATAACGGCTCCCATTTAAGGAACGGAACACTTAGCCCGATTTATCGACGTCAATCGCAAGGCAGACCAATCACAGAGCTTATCCAAGGCACTCCGAATTGTCTCAGAATCACCAGGAATATCCACAATATTCCAGAGCCTGAGGTCGTCAATAAACATTAGCGGCGACATTCCAAGCTCCCCGGCAAGTCGTTTGTATAAATCGCGAACAGCAATGGCCCTAATACCGAGCCCAGCGGAACGTCACTAAGAGAAGCTAGCCTAGGCGAAAGGCTATGCCCCACGCGTACACACTGTTCTCTCCCCTCTAGAAAAGCAGATACCCATTAAAGGACTCGATCAGATCTCCCGTAATACCTCAACTTTAGTGGGTCTATGTTGAGGGACAGTGTCAGAACCTTACGAAAAGTTTAGAAATAGCACGTCTTTATTGTGGCCACTGTCTGTCGCATCGGCTTACTAGAGGCAAAAGTAAATTAGTCTGACATGAAAATCACTTGCGGAATCCGTGTAGCGCGGCACTGAGGTTAAATTTATTTAGGTGGTTCTCCACCAAATCCCTTACCACGCTTGACAAGCCGGTAGTTCGAATGTAGATTAATGTCACCACTTAAAAGTCGGACGGATGATTCCTCCCTTCCGAAGGTAAAACGCAGCTCTCAAGCCGTTTTGAAGACATATATAAAAAGACCATTCAGTTCAGCGGTCAATTCATGCAAAAACTTCTGGTGAATCGAATAAGAGCAGAAACTTTGGAGGATTTATGCCTTGCAGTAGCCTGAAGACCTGAGTGTCTGTTATGCTAAACTCAGCTAAGCAAGAATCCTCTGGAACCAATTCGGCCTGTGGTGAAGTGGTCTCGCAAACGAAGGATCTAGCAAACTGCTAGCGGAGTTGCAGTGGATCAGGCCTGGACTATCACACCAGAAGGAACGAATCAATATCAGAAAAAGGAAGGTTAACGCTGACCTTCAGATGTTGCAGGTTTTACTAATTCCACAGAGAATACATACTCCCCGACAAAATAGTCGAAAGTGTTGGTTCAACGAAGCACAGACTTCCCAAGCACACAGACGAAACGAGCTGTGTACTAGGCGTCCTGTTGAGGATTCCGATGGCTGCCGTGCCCAGTGCGTACGTGGGTCGTAATAGACCTGAACAGCTGCAATGCAAAATAAAAAATACCTCGTAGATAGCTGGATGCTCATATCGTGGTAGAAAGGACTATACAAAAAGATTAGTGAAAGCTCTGTAAGCTACGAAAAGAGTCTGTCCGTAGTTCGGTTAGTTTTAAGTCTTCTAAAGGTCCCAAGCTAACCGTAAGCATCGATAAGATATGCGATTCGAGTCTGTAACGGTTTCGTTCACCAGACACCGAGCAACCACGCCGAATAGGCACGACGAACGTACGCGAAGCGACAACGCGGAAAGAAATTCGAAAAAGTGTTTATCGGTTTTGGGTCAGTTAAAACAAAACCGTACAATAAACAATGAAAACGGGAATGGAAAGGTACAAATGGAAGAACTGTACAGTCACTACAGAACTCCCCCCTAGAGCGTGAGTCACTGAGAAGAATGCTGAATACTTGTGTCGTTTATCGTAGTCTGGAAGGGAGAAAAACTGTATGTCCGAAGCGTGTTCTGTGGTGCGAGTTGGTATTTGTCGTGAGATGCTTGAGGTGCAGAAGAGGGAACAGAGGTGTCAAACATGGGCTGAGTAGCAGGCGTACTTGGGAAAGTGGGCTGGTCGATGACAGGAAGGTCCGTGGGTTTCAATAGTGGTCGCGTCTCGATGTAGGCCGGCTTCAAGTGGTCAATACTTACTGTATCCTGATATACATTGCTATCCAGCACGAAGTACTTCTTCTGGGCAACTACCTTAAAGGAGCCCTCTTAAGGCGGTGTCAGAGGTTTACGGACGGAATCGACAAGCACAAATGCGGGTGTACCTGTTGACTTCGAGGTGGTGTTGGACGAATTGAGCGTGTGATGCACGACGTCGGACCAAATTCTCCAATCATCCTTGAGTCGGGCACCATTTCTGCGGGAAGACTGAGAGTAGGGTCAAAGACCAACTCAACGGGACAGCAGCTAAGGTCTTCTTTAATGGTGTTATCAATACCAATCAAGACAATCGGTACACGTTCTGACCATTGTGAGTCCGAGTGCGAAGCACTAATTACGGCTTTAAGTGGGCGACGGGAACGTCCAACTAGGCCATTGGTAGCTGAGTGGTAGGCAGTTGTCCATAGGTAGGGAAAAGTCGAGCAAGTGGTTCAAGTCATGAAACAAGGCCGAATTGAATTGGCGCCCTCTATCAGTACTAATAGTGGCTGGAGTGCAAAAGACGGGAATCCACTTTTTAATGAATGTTCACGCCACAGCTTCTGTAGAAATATCTCGTAAAGGCACAGCAAGTGGTCAACGTGTATAAGGATCAGTCCATGTCAATAAGTCGACAAAACTGATGGATGGAGACAGAGGTCCAACGATGTTAAGATGAACATGTTTGAAACGAGCGTCGGAAAGCGCAAACGTGCCGGGGACGGTAATCGTGTGACAGTGGATCTTGCTGGTTTGGCAAATGATACAGTGTTTGGCCCACTGCTGGATCTCGGAGCGCATGCTGTGCAAAAGGAAGCGATCAGTAATCAGTTTGACGGTGGCTTGGAT